TAAAAAATTACAATAAAGTTCACGTAACTTCATATTTAATTGTAATCTTTTTTCTAATTGTAAAAATCGTTTTATAGCCAATGTTTTAGAATCGCCCAAAACACTGATATTTTCTTTTAGGGGAACGGTCACAATAAATTGACCTTTCTCATTACGCTTTACTGTTTTTTGAAAATGTTCTTCGCATAATTCCTCTTCCATTGAATTTGGTTTGGGATTAGGTTTTGGATGTGGTGCTTCTTCAACTTCCCAGAATTTTAACAACAAATCGTTAATATCTGTGTTTCTGTTCAAAAAGCAAAGGTTGTTATCTGAAATACTTAAAGATCCACCAATTATCCAACCTAATTTTGTGTTTTGTAGAATTGGAAACTTTTTACCTAGGTTTATTTGTTCGCATATTATTAAATCCCAAAACTTGTCCGCGCCGATTAAAAGATCAATTTTTGATGGTTTATCAAAATTAGAATCAGCTAATTCAATGTTTATTGGAATCCTTAATATCTGTTTGTTTATTTTAGATTCAGGTAAATACCCTGTAATATTATCTATTATGAAGCAAGAAATTTCAAATTCGAAATCACTATGCACGGATTTTAGTTTTAAATTACATTTGTAGTTTGAATATGATATAGATTTATTTAAACCAGATACTGCCAGATTTGTTTTGATTTTAGGAAAATTCAACATATTAAAAAAATATTTCGAAATGAAACTAGATTGTGAGCCACAATCCAGTAGAGCACGAGCAGTACAATTTGTGCCTTGTATTTGTACAAGTGCTGTAGACAAAATCGCATTCGTTTTAATTAAATTAGAATCTGTTGCTGCACAACAAATTGATGAAGAGGTTGAAGGATTTGACTTTGGGTCTGTTGACGAATTCAAATTTGTGTTTATTTCTTCTTTTGGATTATTTTTAGCTAACATGCCTCTGGAAGTTTGATCACAGTGAAGAACTGTGTTATGTTTTTCTTGGCAAACTCTGCATCCTCCTAATCTACATTCATTTGGGGTATGATTAGAGCGCAGGCAATTTGTACACAAATTTAATTTCTTAACCTTTTGAAATCGATCTTTAACATTCAAACATAACAAATCTGGGCAGTAACACAATAAATGGCTTTGCTTACACAAGATACAGTTTCCTTTTATTTGTTGGTTTTTAGTATATAACCCTTTCTCAGTTTCCCTACGTGAGTCTCGAGTATGGGTATCGCGATTTTTAAATTTTTTATCCTTTGAAAAATCATCCTCTACGTCCTCTAGCAACTCTGTCCTATTTCTAAGAAAGTCAAGGAAATTGTTAACTACGACTTTGTTTGGTAAGCTTTTTTTATATTTTTTCCATTCTTTTTGGGAAAAATTATCTAATTTCTTATAACAAATATAGATCAGAAGAGAATTCCAATTGTCTACCGATTCACCTAACTGTCTCAAACATTTTAAATTGTTTGTTATCGTATCTAAAAATCTCCTATTTTTGTACTAGTAGATCTTTCTATTTGTTCGTACTCGCAAATTGCCTTTATATGATTTTGTATAAGTTTATCGCTATTATCGAATTTATCACAAATTGTGACCCATGCACTATCATAATAGTTTTCACCGAATTCAATGCTTTTTATACATTGCAAAGCCTTACCGGATAGAGACTGTCTCAAATAATGATACTTCTGTATTTTACTGATTTTTGAATTAATATGGATAAGAGATTTATATTTATCTCGGAATTCCATCCACTGACTGTATGTGCCATCGAACTGAGGCAAAGGGATAGAAGGTAATTGTACCTCACTGTCATTTAGTTTAACCGTTTTATTAGAATTTTCTTCCTCTATTTTTAATTTTGAAAAAATTAATTTTGCCTTAGCAACTGTTTTATAATACTTTCCTTCTTTACTGTTTTTAATAATTTTTTGTTCTTCCACTAAATTTTTATCAGTTACTATTACAAAATCATCTATTTGATCTTGAATGTCTAAAAATTTTTCAAAATTACTGTCATAATTTGACAAACGCGTTTCAATTTCAAACTTTATTAAGTATTTTTTATCGTTATCAAACGATTCAACATATATTAATTCCGTTTCTGTTATTTCAATGAAATTTTCGAACTGATTTAAGTTATCTATTATTTTTGTACGCTTTTTAATTAAATTTTCTAGTGCCATAATGACTGAATACCGTATGAACTGCAAATATTAGCAGACTATAATATTAAACCGTATAATTCTATAAATTAAGAATTTGAAAACCGTATGAATGTAGAAATAATAACTTCTATATTTTAACTGTATAAAGCCCTATCAATGTTTATGCAAAACGCATGAATGGACCTTTAACGCATTTTAAGTACAAATCGAATATGGTATGAATTTTCTTTAGATAATCTCACTCAGTCACCCTGGTGCTTCGCCTCTTCTATCTATGCTATTCACTCCTGGATTTTTCCGCCTGTTTTAATGCTCACACCTCGAAGGACCACTTGGTTGCGCGTGAAGGGCGCTGGTTACTTTTAAAGAAGTGAATTCAGAGGAAACCGTTTATTTTATATAATGGGTGACAAATATGTATCTTGAATTGACATTAATTTATAATTAACATTTCATTCAACTTATATCTATAGTAACATAGAAACAGTGGCGGCTCGTCGGCTCGTCCATCAACAAGCAAAACTTAACAAAAGGTGAATACCAAAAAACGTGATAGTACAGTAATGGAATGCCAGAAGAAACGAGGAGTATCTTGGAATGAAAAGAATGGCAAAAAACAAAAAGAATGGAGAAAATCGACCTTATACTTTGAATCGAACAACTATTATGATTTGATTGACTGGACAAAATTATGAGTGAAATATAGATATCCATATCGAAAAACTTCCCTGTCACATTGTAACTTGTTAGTCATGTAATTTTTTTCAATATTAATTTCTGAAATATACAATAATAGCTTTGTTCGCGATCAGAATCCTGAACCGAATTATTACTAATAGTAACGATTTCGTAGGCGCAGTAGTTAAAAAGCGTTCGCGGAACAAAAAGAACGGAATTATTGGTTCTATCCTGCGTTCGCGGTAAAATTATTATTTGTTTTACACCTCTTGTGTTATACCTGGAACACCGAGTTATAATAGGAATTGCGCGCGCTGTAAAAATTCAGAATTGATAATGAATCGGGCATGCGCTTAAAGTATGAATTAGTAATTCTGAATCAGTTTAGGATTGTTACCGCGAACAAAGCTAATAAATTTAAATAATGTTACACCTAGTGCCACCCAAACGCCAGGGAACGAACCTAGCCAATAAATAAAATAGTTTTCTACCGGTAATATGATGGTTCGTGCCTTAAAGCATAGCGGCCGTATGATACCCTCTCTTGCTCGAGCCTAGATCGAAAAACAGTTTGTTTGACATGATGTTGCAGTAGAAGCGAATTTCGCCGGTTTAGTAAATTTGTTTAACTTAAAAAAGCTGTGTAACACTAGCTGAGTTTGTAACGTTTAAATTAAATAGTATAATTAATTTCATATTAAAATCTCTGCAATGGTCATGTGTTTAAATAGATTTTAACGAAACGAAAGTCTCTGCAATGTTCATGTGTTTAAATAGATTTTAAAGATTTCATTATAACCAATCACGGCTGCAATTTTATATTTCCTGAAAAATTAGATGCTATTTTTGTGTTTTAATAGTAATATTGAATTATTAGTGTATTTTTGAATTAATTTTGATAATTCAAATGAATTTTAGAGAAAGTAAAAACTACGTAGTGTAAAAGGTTATTAAAGGTTACATGTTCTGTATCCAGTGTGAAATTATTTTTTTGCAGTTTTTTTTTTGTGAATTGTCAAATGACTTATCGGTTACTAAATACATAGTAACTAGTTTACATGGAATAATATACCGATAAGCAGTTATTTTGGAGATTTTTAACCAAAATACTGGTTATATAGGATTTAGTATTGCAATTGGCTAAGTTTATGAAGTAGAACCGCTCACGGTTCATCAGTTCCTCGTTGTTGGAGTGACATTCAACCGAATCTAATCAGATAAGTGAAAAACAAACAAAATTTTACTTTGTAATATATTAGCCACCTTCATTGTTTTTCTTCATTTCGTAATATTGAGAGGTTAATTAAACTTGTTAAGGTTGAAACAAATATTAATTTGATTATATGTAAATTTAAACACTGTTTTTCTTATTATTTTATTCTGGTTATACATTTAATGGCTTCAGTACGATTTATCTTCATTTCGTAATATTAAGAGGTTAAAACTTGTAAAGGTTGAACCAAAAACTATTAATTTATATAATATATGTGAACCTAAATTAAAACAATTGATTTTCTTACTAATTTATTCTGGTTACGCCAGATTCTCTTTACTTATTTTTTAATCGAAATTCAATAGTTAAATATTTCAAATCTTTATACTTAGTCTTTCTAATTCTCTTGACTTATTCATTTTAAACTAGAGGATTTACTGGCGCCCTACTTTACTAATATTCCTGAAAAGTGTTTATTACCTGAAAAAACTTATCCACGATTCTGTCAATTGTCTTATAAATGGGAAATATATACCTTCATAATTTATGTCGTTCTTTATCACTACAACATACACAAGCTGTGGAGATAGGCGTGAAGCTTGTCGCTGAAGCTAGTTTGATTGTTTAGACACAAAGTACGTGATGGATACATTCGAGAAAAAAATAAATACAAATGTTCAACATAAAATCATAGTTTGTCTTTGAAATTCAACGAACTACACCTCATGCGAAAGATATGCCTAAAAGCTGAAATAAAAACTTTTTTATTTTATAAAAAATTCACTGTTCCAAATTTAAATCTGCATCACCTGAAGATTATAAGTTAATTGTTTTTTGTATATTTCAACAGCTATTTATTCATAGTAACTTTTAATAATATAAGATTGACGAAATTTGAAAAAAAAGTCACTCTAGTATTTAAGGTGTAGCGATAATGATAAAAATATACAAACCTTATGCTATTTAACGGAGACATATTCGCCTTGTAGCTGATAACCCCGATCTCGCTACAAGCGCCGCGCAAATCGAATACGGCGTAAAACACTTCTGGTAAAGGAGGAAAACTGACAGACAACTCTTCGCCGTTGACGAACACTTTTACGCTTCCATCGGCTGTTTTGAGTAAGCCGATTCTGTCGTTGCAGGTCAACCAGCTCAAATTCGGCGTGAAAAATTGCAACACCTAAAAATATATCTATTTGCAATAACAGAAATGACGATGTTAAGTATGACGCTAGTTCAAATCATTAATTGCAACATAATAAACAACTTTTTTTTAGCAATTTGCATTAGATATTAGGTTTTTCTTCAAATTTGATAAACTATTTAATTCGAAATAAAAAACAAATTAACAATTTTTTTATATTAAAATTTTTACTGATTAATTTGTTTATTTGTTATTAATAGTAAAATATCTTTTTTGTCACCATGGTAACTTGTTTACAACAAAATCAAGGACGCTATGGAAGTATTGCCATTGCAACATTACTTAAATACAATACAAACACTGTTAATAGCGATTTGATTACCACAAAATGAAGGAGGTTATGAGATTACTATGATGACAACAAATAAAATACAAACGTTTCTGAAGTTTCAATCTTAAAATGTTAATATAAAATGTCATTCAGCTTCTTTTTAAATCTAGGGTGGCTATGAGAATTCGGTGCATTTTATTGTGTATAATATTAATTTAATTTCCACTTGCTTATTTGTTTTTATGCTTTAAATTCGGTTTACCATAAGAACACTCATAATACCCACGAGCGTTATGTGCCGTGTTATAGATTCTAACGCTCGCTAATGTATTAACATGTTTTATTGTTGTATGAGAAATAAAATAAGCAAATATTACAGAACCCAATCGTTCATTTTCAATAATTTTAAATAAGCAAACGTTAAAACTACCAAAATTATTTACTTATAACAATTTTTAACAGCAATAAACGAGTCTGTTATTTGAAAGATCACGTTTTGACAACTATAATTAATAAATGTCAAGGTATCAAATCAACAACTGTCATCAACGGCCTATACTTACTAGAAAAATTCCATTGCAAAAGAAGCAACCATTTTTCGTAAAAAAATATACTTGCAGTGAAGAATATATAAATACACCATGAGCATTTCTACTTAATAGCGTACTAATGTATGTAACATAAGTTTTGAGACAAAAATCAAATTAACACTATTTGTTCAAATTTTCAGCTTTACTTAAATTAGGTAAACGATTAATATCATTTCTTAGCAATAATATATTACAATGCAGCTAGCGGCCCATGGTCTTCAATCCGTCGTATTTTTGTTGTCAAGTACTGAGACAGAACGGATGTTATGCTGCCACAAGGGCTGATTCAAATAATAAAAAAAAAATACTTGTGGCACTCGGGGACTGCCGCGGTAAAGCTATTGCATAGCATTTTTTATCAACTTATGCAACTATAATTATTTATTTTATTTATGCAGTATTTTTTTTCATTGATATTAATTCAAGTTTTTTCTTTGATATTAATTCAAGTTTTTTCTTTGATATTAATTCAAGTTACACTTTTTGAGCGTGGTGACCGATAAGAAAACAATTTTTTTTCTTTTATTGAATAAATGAGAAGTTAATATTGTTTAAAATATTTTTATTATCTTACAATATATGTAGGTTATTCAGGAATTTTTATCATTGAAACTATAGGTTTATGGTAACTGAAATAAGAAACATAAGTTTGAGACTTGATATCCTCTAAATATCTGGAAAATACCGCGTCAATGGTGGTCCCATATTTGTTGTGAATTCTTGTGGATAATTATTCATTTTCAAATTCAATTTTTCCGATATTGTGTCTAAAAGAGATAGAATCAGTTAGCAGCTAGTCTACACGCATACGTCTAGTCGCACGCACACAAACACCGTGCCGAAGTTTGCCGAACTGAAACGACGTTAGACGATGCACGGCTTTCAACGCCGCACCGCTGTGCCGGTCGGAGTGGGGGGTGTTAGGTTTATTTTCGTTACGGAATTTCTGTTTCGATTTTTTCGATTTTTCGATTTTTTTGATTTTTCGATTTTCTTTTATTGAATAAATGAGAAGTTAATATTGTTTAACGCCGCACCGCTGTGCCGGTCGGAGTGGGGGGTGTTAGGTTTTTTCTCGTTACGGTCGTTACGGAATTTCTTGATTCGGTCGCCGCACTCAAAGCCCGCGATAAAAGCTATGCAATAGCTTAAAACTAAATAAATTAACAAACGTATTTGACACCTTACCTTATTTAGAATATTGAAATCGTAGGCGACCGGCACACATACATATAGCAAAGGCACAAATTCAGCGGTAGCAAGCGAACTGATTACTTCGTTGGCGGTACATAGATGTCTCTTAGTTCTTCGAAAAGGTCCAAAGCATGAACCGTTTAGGTGGGGCAAAGTGTAAAAAATAGATAACGCGAATCATTTAAATTGGATGGTAGCAACATCGTTTTGCCAAATCTTTTGGTAAATTCTCCTTCTTGTTTATTTTCTGCCTCCCATCCATTATAAACTTTCCTGCTTAATAAGGCCCAAAAATCTTCGATAGACCGTGCTTGGGGAACATTAGGTGGATTATCTTTTCTGATTAAAAATGGGATATTATTGGCTTCCAACCAATCTCTAATTTGCCTGGCATAGTAACAAGATGCTAGATCAGGCCAGAACATGATTTTATCACCATTGTGATGTTCGCTTATAAATCGTAACAATTTAGGCAAATATTTTTGTATATAAAGACCTGTAGTAATGCTTTTTCTCTAACATGTCCTACATATGGCCGCGATGCACCTGCCGAAGAAATGGCGCACCACACCATAATTTTATGGTATTTCTTCCTCACATTGTTTTATTGTTCAGTAAATAGTTGCACGAGACATATTAGGTCCTTGAAATATATTTATAATATCCGCATTTTGCATTCGGGTAACTACAGTATATTACACACCGATGTGGGAAGAGTTTCATTCCTGTCGTGAGATTAGTTAGATCACCGAGACGCGAAGCGTCGAGGTTAGCTATGATCTCGAGACAGGAATGAAACTTCCTACCGAGGTTTGTATACTATTTTATTTACAACCATCATATTTCGATTAAAGTTAATAAATCTCTGTTTCGTTCTGAACATACCTAAAATATTACATTTAACGACAAATTACCAAGCGCGCGGTTTTCTCAGAATAATCAAGTAAATATATTGTTACTGTGATTACGGGGTAAACAACTGGCACCAATATAAATAAATGTCAGATAAAGCCGGATATTAAATTCGCGAATAATAAATATCAATAAGTAGTTTGTTGTATTTTAGTTCATTGTTGTTTTTTATTGTTTGCCATTAAATAGGTATTATAAAATTTGTCAAAAAAATGTGTTATTTTTATTATTAAATATAAATAATATTCATCTAGAATAGATGAAATGAGGGCGGGAAGTGAGGGCGGGAAGTAGAGGTGTGTAATGTGACACTTCCCAACCTTCAATGACGTTAGTAATGACAACATTACATATATGGTTGTAAATAAAATGCATTATCGGATTTCAAAAAATGTTTTCTACAACTGTCAATATTTATGATAACAAAGCCTACTTGAATTTTCAGGTACTGGCAACTAGACTAAATATTATTGAAGTAATAAAAATTAATTACGAAATTTGTCTCAAAACTTATGTTATATACGTTAGGTACAAAAATAGCTATATCCTTTTAATATTAATATTTTTTAGAAGTTATATGTTGTGACATGTCATTTTTATGATTCGAAGCAGCGTTGTAAAGTGTTGTTTTATATACAAAAATCTCAGAACTAAAGAAATTTATAATAAGTCCATTATAATTCAAAATCCATTTGGTATTTTAAAAAATAAACAAATATTTTTTTGTAATTTAGAGATAGGAAAAATTACAACTGTTCAAAGTATACTCCAAGATTGTCTATATAAGTGGTTAAGCATTAGGTGTAGCAACAATAAATATTGACATGGTACTTTTATTGATACAGACGATGAAAATGTTATAAAAGGGAATAGAGAACGACTTATTGTGATTGAGCGAAACTTCAAGAAGTGCTGCTTCCATTTAACTACATATATCCTTTGTATAAGACTGTTTTTCTTTGCAAAGATCAGATTATGTAGGTATAGCAAAAATTATCAATTTGATGGTTGAATATGTACAATAGAAACAACTGAATTTAGCTTGTCTGGTTTATAAAGAATTAAGAGATTTGTAAAATTACTCAATAAAACGGTTTAAGATGTCTAAAGAAAAATGGAAGGCATCGTGACGTTACATTTTTTGGCGGGTTACTTGCGAACATGAACTTTGACAGTCAAACATCGCTCACCCTGTATAGCAATACTGAGTGTCAAAGTTCTTCTTGTTCACCAAAAAATGTAACGTTGCCACGTCGCTTTCTTAAATATTTTAAACTTCGGGAAAAGAGTATTAAGCTACAATTTCTAAAAAAGTGGATAAAAAGAAGGTAAGAAGCCACGTATTTATTTTCAGATTATTAGATAAGAACTGGCAACAGTGTACTATAATTTCATTTTGAAATCTTCCTAGTTTTCAAGGTATTTTAGCAGTAAGCAGGTAATTAGTCACAGAAATCAACAGGTTTAAGTCGTGTAAAAGAAAAAATGTTTGAAAATTATCTTTTTAGTAATATATTGGAAAGTAAAAAAAAAAATGTGGCTTATCACCTTTTAAACACAAAAGTTTTTTAGTTAAAAAGTGGCCTGTTTACTGTTCTTTCTTAATACTATTTAAAATATTGCTATGCGAAAAATTCCCGACCAGTCCGGTCCTGCCTCTACTGTCGCCAGCACGTCTACCGATATGGTCGTTGAGTCCTTGAGTCAACAGAAAATCTAGTCATTGTACAAAATTTACTTATTGTAATCGTAAAGGGTTGCAGGAATATCACAAATCAGAATGGTAGAAGACTTACAGTCATACCAAAAGAGATTTCCTCTACGCGAATTTACTAAAGGAGTCTACCAGAGACGCGATGGACTGCATTTTGTATATAAATAAGCTGTTGCGTTGTTGGAGAAACAGTTTACAAACAGAAGTTGAAGACAATCAGCTTAGTTCTAAGTGCAAATAAATTTAGTTAGTGTTTTAGTGAATATTGTAAATAAACTAAGAGGGTTCTATACCCATCAGTTCGATCAATTTCATACATAACCTCGAAATGCACGTCCCTTACGTCTTCGCTATAATCCCCCTTTAAAGAAATTGTTAGGCAGTCTGTGCAATTGTGGTTACTTACTCTACCAATTCTCGGATAAGAATATCTAGAGATAGCATTTTCGGTTGTGGATGATATTGACAATTAAATTGCTTGACGTAGAATTGACAAACTTCCGATTTATTAAAGTCACAGTGATTATTCTCGCACTAATTAGGCATTCCAATGACCTGTCCAAATGGCTACCAGTGGGGACTGACAGTTTAGATATGGCAACCCTGTTATCATGTTGTCATTAACAGGGTCAATGATACATGTATAGTTATATAAATTGCTCAAAGCTGGTTGTTTGCGAGCGGCCATATTGCCTGGCAAATATTTATTAATTTGAATTGGTTTAGCAAAAATGTGTTTTAAAACCAATTTTCAGCCTGTAGATATTAAAAAATAATAATTGCTTACATTTTTACTTCAAGGCATAAGCTTGTTTATTTTAAAAAAATATGGATGATCAATCTATGTAACTATCTATTTCATTGACAAATCACCAGGCCTACAGGGTTGCCATAATTTTGCCATATCATAACCTGTCAAAACCCACTGGTAGCCATTCAGTTTGGAATGCCTATTAAACACACAATTAAAAATGTATAGGCCGGCATATACAATGTATTTATTTAATTCGCATTTGCAATGACAGCCACAGACAGATCACTTACTTTGATGACAAAACAACACATGAAATTACAACGTTGCCAAGAGTGGCTTTCTTTCTTTTTATTTGCACATTTCAGAATAGAGAATTTGTTTATAAATGGGGTTTTAGATTTTGGTTTTATAATGCATTGTGCAATGCAAACCTTTGTCGCAAAGTGCAATTTTATGAAACGCCCTTGATTTTTGCTCAAAGAATTTCTTTTTCTCCACTATTCAAGCGAAATCGGTACTATTAATTTTTTCCGACCATAAAATTTTCGGAGCTGAATTTAGGAATTTTTTTTTATAATTTCGGACCAAAATCGACAAGCTCGTTTCATAATTTCGTGCTCGTATTTTGTATTTAATTATGTAACACAGGTAGGTACATACCTATTTTATAGCAATTTTATGCACACCCTATTTATCTTTCATAAAATTTGATAACTGTGAATTTTGTTTTTCGTAATAAAAACAAATTTCATTAGATTTTTTGTAGAAATGTATTTTAAAAACGTACTATTTCCAATGCTACTGTGCTTTGTCCAATGCTTTGTCTGTGGATTCACAAACTATCTGTAGAGACGGCAACACCGAACCTAAAAGCTGGAACTGAATTCAAAATTCGCCAAATAAACACAATATTATTTATTGTTTGCCGTTTATAGATCGGAGAATTTCGCGTAATATTTATTGGTTTAGGCAACATACTTTTCGCGACTGTTACGCCATCTGGCATAGAAAATAAAAATCATGTATCCAAACGTAAAAGAGGACCGTTGGGGGCAGCACCTCTGGGTGTCCTCTGAGATTTTTAAGCAATGTTCAATTTTAGAAAAACTACTTACTATTTTCAAAAATGGTAATCACACAAGTTGTACAGTGACAAATGAAGAATGGCGGGTGATAGCATATATACGTATATGACTTTTTTTATATTTTTTAAGTTTATAAAAAATAGTTATCATGCGCCAATCTACGATGCATAAGAAGCTCGGATACAAAAAAAGATTTTTATTTAGTAAGTATTAAGCCCGCAATTTGAACATTAACATTTCCAATAGGGCGGACGGGTATAGAAGCCTCTTAAAATAAACGCTACATCAAGCTTTTTAGATTAGGAACCCAACAATAAGTCTTAGATATCTACTTCTTCATTCATTTTTATGTGAAAAATTAAAAGAAACGGCTTTCTGTTATTTTTTTTTTAATTTCAAGCAGAAATTGACCCTGACCTTGCCCTAAAAAATAGAGAGAGACCACTACAAATAATAAAGAAGGAGATAGTCTAGACCACATGGATAAGGAAGACGATTCTGAAATAGAATAGAAATTGAACATAAAGCTAAACAATTTAAAAAATAAATGTTACTTGAAAACGACAATAAGCCAACTTTTTGTAATTTTTTTTTTTCGACTTGTTTTAGTTTTTGTTTTAGTTTTCATATTATGTTCTTACCCTGGATTTAAAATAAAACTGAACGGCATACTGAAATTATTTTGTGGGAAATTACATGATTTTTGTCTACCTTCAGTTTGATAAAGTTTTCCTACCTTAGATTGATAGCGTAATTCGTTCCCGCACAAATAATAACACTTCGGCGGTATATTATTTGAACACATCGCGGGCGACACCTCGGTAACGCCCACTGACAATGTTCCGGCCATGTGCTTGGACATGTTCAAGATGGAAATTTCGAACATTTCATCTTGGTGAAGGGGCGTCGCGCTATATATGACGGCGCTGCTGAAATCTTTAGATCTCGTCGCCGTTCTGCCCCTTTCGTCCAGGACGATGCCTTTACTGTGACATTCAGAGAAACGATGAAGGTCCGATTCGATGGGAGGTTGAACCACGCTGGTGGCTTGAAGAGAGGCCGATGTGTCTGATCGATGAGATGTTTCTATACCTAAAAATTACACCATTGTTGTACGAAAGATGAATTATAAATGTTTCGAAGAAAAATTGTTTGTCACAAAGTTTTTGAAACTTAAGAGGAGTATTTACTTGGCTCTAGAGCAGAGCATGCAAGGGTTTCGTAGTACCCCACTTTTAAAGTTTATTTTTGACATATTTTAAAAGAAAAAAACATGTGCGTGTAGGTAAAGGTTAAATCTGTGCTCCTCTAGAAACACTTTTTCAAAATTTCAATTTGTTTTTTCTAAAAAAAAAACACAAAACTCGACTTTTTTCGTTAAACATTTTAATTACGGATTTGTTGTTGCAAGAAGCAAAGACACAAATGATATCAAAATATGACTTCTTAATCCTTGCATGGTCAACAGTTTCTTCACAATATTTTATTAGCAAAGGATATGGACAGAAGCATTAGGTAATTATGCCGAAATATTTAAGTTTGATCTGACAGCCTCTCCCATGTCTCTAACAGTAAATGGGTATCTCGGCACCTCTACAAATAAGAGTTTATTGGGAAATATTTTAGAGCAATATGACCCACAAAGACTTACCTGCACCTAGGTGATCTTGCAAAACTTGTCACATTTTTGATGGTATAGCAATAGCTCAAGGTTTGGGAAAGTCCAAAAGTTGCATATCATTTAAAGAATATGCTAATATATTTGTAAAGATTATTTTTAAAAATAAATTTAATGCTCAAAGGATAGATGTGGTATTTAATCATTATAAAGAAAATTCCACACCTGTAATTTTGAACCAATCAAAATACGTGTTTTTGACAGATCACCATGGCAACGGAGGTATTTTAGTGGAAATTTTTTTCTCGTGGGGTACCCAACAGCGAATTATACTGGAAATTTTTTGACGTTTACAATAACAGACCATTTTTGACAGACTGGTTTTTATTTGTTCACATAATAGGTTTAGTTTTGATACATTTTAGTTACAATGCTAAGGTGTTTTCTATATTCTTCGGCCACTTCTTTTCTTCTTAATGGCGAAAATGCAGGACTTTGGATGCTTTGAATTATGTGTCTATGTCTAATAAAATATATATAATATTTAGACACTAATTTATTCAACTTTTTCCCATTCAGCACTTTGAATTTTGCGTAGTTTAGGTGCAAATATTCGTGGACAATTCGGAACAAATTTTCGTTTTTCAAGTTGGAGCCACAACCCTCTATTAATCCGAGTAAGTAAGTCATGGTGCAATGATTGATATTTACATCAGACAATTTCACGCATATTTTGCATAGCGTATGATTTTCAAATCGATTCATTTTTAAACAAATAGGTAATTTTGTTGGTTTTACTTGCTGTGCAATATTCTTTATCGCAACAAAACGCGAGTTATTTAATGTTTTGAACTGTCAAAATACAATGATCACAGCCTCCTACGATTGATGCTTGCTGACGCTGGTTATGAATTTCATACCATTTTAAAGCGCTCATAACGCATGTTAATAAAAACGCAGAAAAACAATTTTCTACCACTTGTAGTTATTCAAAACTTACGTAAAATTAAAGAATATACTATTTTCTATTTTCAAATGGTATTCCCATACAACTACAATGAGTAGAAATAAGCAATTTGAAGGCCTAAATAATTGCAGCGAAACATTTTTTTACGTCGGGCCGCTTGACTGAAACTGAAATTATATTCGAGGTTAGGGTCTCACTTAGTTACCATGACAACTCAACAATCAAGGCGACAACACCTTTTATGTTTCACTGGTGACTTGGAGAAAATAATTTGCACTGTTGAGAAACGAAAAATAAATTTTAAAAATATTTAATTTTCAACCATAATTCGGCGTGGAATTTTCTTACCGAATACCACGCGAGGTCAAATTAATATCAGGAAATTTTTTGACCTCTAGTGGTATTACTAGTGAAAATTCTATCAAAAATACAACACGTCAAAAGAGATGATTCTAGAAATCAATTGATATAGAAATTGACCGAACCAATATTCCACTTCCCGAATAATGAAACTTGTTCATTCATTCGATATTTAATAAAAGACGTTTAACACATTTTCTGTCAGAGCAACTTCTTGAAAATTTGTATCTAGTGATGGATTCGCGAGTATCAATAAATATGGGATGAATTTTGAACCATCAAAAGACGATTTCTTAAATTTAAATCTTGAAGAAGCTGATACTCGTATCATATTGCACATATTATCAGCCAGAAGTTCGGGGAATTCACGCTGCATTATTGATTGCAACGATACAGATGTTCTAGTCTTATTAATTTATTTTAAGTAGTTTTGTACTAAAAAGGTATGGTGCATAATAGGGCGAGGAGACTTGTGACGATTTATAACAGTACACATGATTTAAATTTGGATAAAAAAACTTCTAAAAAATTTGCCTTCTTTTCATTCTGTGACAGGTCGTAATAAATCCAACCAATTGTCTGGCATTGGAAAAAGAACCTGTTGGAAAACCTACCTTGAACACCATCACCTTTTGGATGGATTTAGCACTGATTCGTAGGTACTCTGAAAACACATTCTCTAATCTTTAAAATTTTTTCATAAAACTGTATTCAAAAACTGCCAATGTTCCTTCCATTAACATTTTGAGGAGATTAATGGCCCCTTTAAAATAATTGCTAAATTGCCATTGGCTGAAGACGCCTTAAGATTACATTGTTTAAGATGTTTTTACCAGCTAAATATTTGGCTAAGCTCTTTAAAGGCCCAGATGCAGCTTCCTAATGTTGAAGAGTATGAATGGAAAGTAGATCAAAATTGAAGCCTGATACCCACTCTTAAGATTATGCTCGACCTGCTACCAGAAATAACAGAACTTATCATGCAAATGCAAAAAGGTACTGTACACTGATAATTTTCATATATGCACAATATTTTAACAATATTATTCTATTCTAGACTATCGAAGCAAAATTTGCAAATGCAGAAAAAAATATTGGCTACATCGGTTAATGCACCTGTATGGCACAGAAAAACTGCAGAAATAGTTTGATCATAGCCGCTAATGTTTTGGAAAATGTAGATTAATGTGGTGAATCTGATTTTGATTAGTTTGAGTCCTGTACATATATATATTTTAATATTATTAATTTATGCTTTATATACTTCTAATTATTGAATTTTTTTATTAGGAATTTATTGTATTCTGCAAAGCAATAGCCTTACTGTTTATAACCTATACTTATATATACTGTGCTTATACCTTCCATAAATAGTTTATATTTTATTTTTTTATTTTCTTAAAAAAAAATCATGAAGTAATACACCCTATAAAACATTATTCGCCTTCATAGCGGATAACTCAATAATACCTATATAAAATAATGTAAGAGAGTCAAACAGATTGCATACATTTCATCCCTGAGAGAGACGCATAGTCAAGAGACTGCTTCCTTTCCTGTAAAACCATGATATCAGTAATTGTTTCTTGCTATATTTTTGTTAATTTCATAGCAAAAAATATAAGGAAAGCACTATTACCTTGTCAATACACAGGCGAAACTTTTATGAAGAATATTTTTTTTTTCGTTTAGGCCTTCGTTTTTCGTCAAATGAAAGGTATATTTTTAAAAGAAGATTTTTTAACCAAATTTGTCGACAGCCAAAATAAGTTTTAATCTACACCATACTTAGGGGGCGTCCATTAATTACGTGAGGTGTTCAAGGGGGGGAGGGGATAAAACTAAATTTTTCTAAATCTCACTTGGGGGGAGGGGGGGTTTTCGTAAATCCCACGTAATTTTTTTTCTAGTAGAAAACGGTATAAATTGCGTGAAAGTAGTTAAATTATAGTAAAAGTATTTCTAGAATAAAATATGGAAATATCTTATAATTATGTTTATTTACAACCATATATGTATTGTGTTTTTTTTTTTGTTTTTTTTTTTTTTTAATAATCCAACACATTTACACCCAAAACACGAATTTTGAAAAATCTCACGTGAGATTAGGGAAGGGGGGAGGGAGTTAAGGAAAATCTTACCAAATCTCGCCAGGGGGGGGGGGGGAGTCAAAAAATCCTCAAAAATACCTCACGTAATTAATGGACGCCCCCTTATATTGTAAAATACATAGGTAATATTATTTTGTGCTATTGTGGAATATTTTTCGGTTCCTTTGTCTTCAACTTCGCGCGTTAAAGTTTAGAATATGCATCCCTCGTATCTACATGCAATTGTTAAAATTAGGAATGAATGCTGATTTTGTTTGGTCTCGGAAGTAATTTTGTAGTATTTAGGCTCCACCCTTAAGTTGTAATTTTTATACCTGATAAACCAGGTCTTTTAGTTTGTAATGTAAATTTTCCTCTTAAGAGCGATCAATTAAACATGAATTAAATATACATTTTTGAAGTAAAATAATAGGCGTGGTAAATCAATGCGGGCGGCAAAACCGCGTGTCCAAAAAATAGTGAGAGACTAGTGAAGACTAAAATTCGATTAAACAAAAATAAATTAAACATTTTTAGCGAAAAAAAAGTGCTTTTAAAAAACAGCTTGTTCTAAAAATAGTTAAATACAAATTCGATTAAATAAACATGAATTATACATTTTTAAAGTAAATCAATTCATGCAGAAAAACCGCGTGTTCTAAGAAATAGTGAAAATTAATATCAAGTATCAGTTCAATCAAACAGATTTAAATTAAACATTATTAGCAAAAAAACGTGCGGTTAAATAAAACCGCTTGTCCTAAAAATAGTTAAAAACGGAATGGGTGATATAGGCGATCAAATAAACATGAATTAAATATACATAAAAAGTCCTTAAAATTGTAAAAAAAAAGCTTGTGAAACTAATACGGTCCAATAAACATGAATTATATATTTCTCAAATCAATCAGCGAAATAAATTACAGCATGTCCAAAGAAATAGCGGAAATTAATGGCAAGTATCAAAATTCAACATTTTTAGCAAAAATAAAAAACTTGCGGCTAATAAAACGCTTGTCAAACACAGACAGGGTGACAAATACTATCAAATAAACACGATTCATTTTCAAACTAAATAATTTCGAGCGGAAAAAACCGCGTGTCCAAAGAAATAGTGGAAATAAATGCTGAGTATCAAATTCGATTACTAGATATAAATTAAACATTTTTGACAAAAAATAATCGTGCGCCTAAAAAATAGTCAAACATGAACTGGGTGATAAATGCGATCAACAAATAAACATTAATTACATACTTTTAAAGTAAATCAATCCCGGAACACACTAGTTCGCTCCGGCGGTCAGATTTTAATCCCAGACCCGAAAAGGTCATAGGTAAGTTCGCTCCGGCACTAAATTTATGAGGGATGATTTATTTCCAGGAAGGACACTCACTTAAAAGTGTTTATTGGATTTAAATTTTCATTGCTATAAGTATCTTAGATTGGGTTTTTTTGGCTTATTTTTATTACCTGGAAGGAGGCTCATTGAAAACGTAATTATTAGAATTAGGTACATTTTTCTAGGTGGGTTAAGTATGTTCTTTTATTTTCATTATTGTGAAAGTTTTAGTCGAGTCAGGGTGAAAATATTGATTGATAATTTTAAAGTAAAAACAGTTAAAAATATGAATTCTTCTGAAGTTAGTGAAATGTTGAGTGAAAAGGGAAAACCTATGTTGATAATCAACGGTTTTAAGTTTAACTTTCATAAAACGTTATCTGGAAATGTAAAACGGTCGCAATGTACGCAACGAGGTGGCTGTAAATCTTTTATAAAAACTGGAGGTTCGAATACTACCATCATTGACTATTATATTATGAAAAAACCATCAAAATTATTGCATACGGAATTAAAAAAGCAGGATGTCGAATCGTTAACCGTTAATGACGTGTTTTTGATTCGAAAAAATATGTATAACAACAGAATGAAGGTGCTCCCAAAAACACCAACTTCTCTGCAAGAAGTGCAGGAAACCTTAAATAAAATGATGGTGGCGACACATAAAAACGAAAACTTTTTAGTTAAAAATGATTTTGACACTAATATAGTCATTTTTGCATGTGAAACAAATTTCAAATTTTTGTGTAAATCAACAAGTGTGTACGTTGACGGAACATTTAAATGTTGCACGAAATTTTTTTACCAACTTTTTACCATCCACAAACTCGAAAATGAACATTATGTACCATTGGTTTTTATTCTTTTACCAAATAAGGAGGAGAAATCGTACAAAAGTGCCCTTCAGTTTGTAAAAGAAGAGTACTTTGAACTAAATTTAATATTTAACACGTCCATAAGATTTTACCAGCTTCTACAATTAAAGGATGCCGATTTCATTTAGGACAATCTTGGTAAGTTTATAAACAATAAAATATTTATACAAAACGCCTTATGATTATTTTCGATTAGGTGTTTCATAAGATGTTAAGTGTTAAATCAAACTCTATGCGATAATTTGAGAATTTTAAATAACAGTTTAATAATTGCTGTAAAAGAGAAAATAATAAAACAATTATTATAAATCTGTTAAAAAAGTAAAACATCGTAGAAGAGAATTTTATTATTTAAGCTCACTTAGTATTCTAACCTAATTTTTTAATTTAAATTTCTTTAGATAAAATAAATGTCAAGTACGTGGAAAAACCGGAAGAGAAGCAGATACTTTCGAAAAAAAAAAAGCAAACTCTGACAGTATTTTGAGTATCACAGTTACTATTGTACATTATACATTACATATACCTAAGTTATATTTTAATAGGGTCTTAGGCAATATCTAAAAAATAAATAGATACATAATATTATTCATAAAACTAGTTTCAGAAACAAGCCTATTTAATAGGTATATTGATAGTTCCATCTCGTAATAAAAAACGATTTTTAAAAAACAGTGTGAGCTTTCCAGACCGAGGCGTTACCGGTGGCCTACCCCGTTTGCTAACAATTTATGATACACAATTTTAAAACACTATTTATTGATTTAAAGATTAGCACCTCACTTAGAATCAATTATATTTTTTTCAGGTGGCGAAAAATACAGTCTTGGATTGGCCTCAGAGTATTCCAAAAATTCTGATATTGGGAATTACTCAACATATTTTTTTGGGCTACCATTTTTGAACCCAGAAATGGTTGGGGATTGTTTCGCTATTGACTTAGCTGCAATAATGCCAAACACAAAACCTATAGTTAAATTTTCGGATTATCTGGTAGATAATTACATTGCTGACGATGCATTATTTTCTCCTTCCATGTGGGCTGAACACAGTTCCTCAATTCAGCGAACCACCAACGCATGTGAAAGTTTTCATGCAAAATTTAATGCTCTGTTTTATTCTCCACATCCAAATATTTTTCAGTTTTTAGAGATTTTAAAAAATATTCAAATAGATACTTACATAAAGATTAACAGTTTAAGTTTACCAAAAAAAGTGTAGCGGAGAGAAGCTCGTTTGGGGAAAGAATTTGGAGAGAAACAAATTTCTCTGTTAAATCAAAATGACAATGCCTATACTATATTTGATTTTGTTAAAATTATGTCTCATAGGTATAAGAGGATAGAAAAATAGTTTTTAAATAATAGTATTTTTAGGAACACTCAAATATTCGTAGGTACTCGATATATTGCATTATAATTATATTATTTTAATATGTATATATTTTAGTTTTGGTAAATAAATAATAGCATTTTTAAATAAAACAATCTTTTTTATTTTTTAATGTTCCAACACAAGAACCTACCTGGGGGCTAATCGACCCCTTTGTAATCTACCTGAGGGCGGTAGATAAACCGGAGCGAACTAGTATAGTACCTTTGGAGCTAACTAGTATACGATTAACAAGCTCAACTGACCGCGGGAGCGAACTAGTATGCGCCCATCAATCCAGTCGGCAAAAAACCGCGTACCCAATGAAATGGCAAAAATTAATGTCGTGTATCAAATTCGATCAAACAAATATAAATTAAACATTGTTTAGAGGAATAAAGGCGCATATAAAAATCGAGTGTCTTGAAAATAAAGATTATGTGATAAATACAGTCCAATAAATATTAAATTAAATGTTTGAAATCAAACGGCGCCAAAAAAAAAAAACGAGCGTCTAAAAAGCAGCGTGTCTTAAAAATAGTGAAAAACAGACTTGCTGATAAATACAATCAAATAAACATTAATTATACAATTTTGAAGTAAAAAAAATCCGCGCGGAAAAAATCGTGCGTCCAACGAAATAGAAGTAATTAATGTCCAGTATAAAATTCGACCAAACATGTAAATTATACATTTTTGAAGTAAAACAATCCGCGCGGCAAAAAAAACAGCGTTCAAAAAAATAACGGAAATTATGCCAAATATCAAAATCAATCGAAGATTTGAATTAAACATTTTTAGTAAAAAGACGCACCTTCAAAACCTATACTGTCCTAAAAATGATGAAAAACGGCCTTCGTGGCAAATAAGATCAAATAAACAAGACTTTTTTTTGAGTAAAGCAAACCGCGCGGCAAAAAAACAGCGTTCAAAAAACTGACGGAAATTATGCCGAGTATCAAAGTAAATCGAAGATTTGAATAAAACATTTTTAGTAAAAAAACTCGCACCTAACAACCTAGTGTCTTAAAAATGATGAAAAACGGCCTTCGTGGCAAATAAGATCAAATAAACAAGACTTTTTTTGAGTAAAACAAACCGCGTGGTAAAAAACTGCAAGTCCAAATAAACTACGAAAATAATGCCGAATGTCAAATTCGATAACACAGATATAAATTAAACATTAACTGCACGGGGAAAACCGCTTGGACAAAATATCCTATTATTCGATGACTTACCTGCTGAGGCCAACGCGGCCATAGGGGAAGCACAGGGAATGCTGACTTGGGCGCATTGCCCGTACAAATCGACCACAGCGTAAATGTTATTATGCGGTACGACGCAAGCGGCTCCTTGCGCCACGCCGTTCTTATAAAACTCCAACGATTTATCGCTGGAACGCATAACGCCGAGTTTTACGCCCGACGTCAACGTATCCAAGTCGCACGAGTAATTACTTTTGATAGTTTTGCCGTTTATCATGACCGAGGAGCCGCTCAGCATCCAAGTATCGCGACAGAGATCCGTCGCCGTACTCGGCAAATCTATTTCGTCAGGTCGTACCGATGTAACTCCTGCAAAAGAAATATAATCTTGGGTTATTTGGAGTTTTTATGAAATTTTCCTGGACTATGTTCCAAATATTACAGCCACTTACCCAATTCAATGCTTCCTGACCACCTATCTACTATATTATCCAAACAAATTTCGAACATTTCCCCATCTCTTAAGGGCCGACTAGAAAACACTATAGCGTCATTAAATTCTGCCAAGGGCCTCGGTCTTAAGGCTGTTAAACCGTTACTGACTATTCTCGCATTTTTTCCATGTATATGATGAAATCTCAGATCACTAAAAGAAAAAAAAATGTTTTTTAATTATATATTTGCCCAAATTGATGAACTTCATTTAACGGCACGCTAATGTCAATTAAATTTGAACAGTAATTAACCAATTAATTAAATTAACAGCCTAAACTTCTTAGGAAGTAAATTTGGCCGGAATCCCACTAATTTCAATTAAATTTGGGTAATAAACATTCAAAATTAACGATCTAACTAATTTACTATTCAAATTTTATTAAGACACCCCTTTTTAAATTTAATTTGGATAATCAAATATTCAAAAATAATGTTCTAATTAACCATACAAATAAAAAATAAGTCTATGCCTCACCTGTAAAGCGTAGTATTAGAAAGACTGGAATTTTGAGTGTCAGGCGAACCATTATCGTAAACGTCAATTATAGTAGCTTCTACCGCTTGCCCATACAGATCTAAAATATTATAAAATTCATACACTTCATTTTACATAAATAGCTAACAATCAGCCCACCTATAACTCCATAAATCTTCTCTGGTACATTAGAAGCAGCACAACCTTGATCAATGCTATTAACGAAAAAATGTAACAATCCATTTTCTTTACGTAAGACGCCCACCCGATCTCCGACCTGCAATCTATCTAAATTTACTCCATACTGCTCCAAAACGATCGTCCCATTATGCATAATCCCGCTGCCGGTCATCATCCACGTTCCCGACCTGACATTAGTCATGGTGAAAGGAAAATCTAGATCCACAGGGCTATGCGTCGTCACTCCTGCAGAAACAATCGTTAATTTCAATATGATTGAGCGAATTTTAATATAAGAAAGTCTCACCTATTTCGATAGACCCCGCCCACTTGGTAACGACCCTATCAAGGCGGACCTCGAACAGTTCGGCCGTCTTAAGTGGGCGTGCTGTTAGCACCACCCCGTTATTGAAGTCGTCGGCAGCGTTCGGCCTATGGGCGGTCCTGTTGTTGTTGATGACTTCGGCGTGCGTTCCGCAATTCGGATGGAATGTAAGTCGGTCGTAGAAGTCCGGTAGAGAATTGGGTTCCGGTAGATGGATCTGTTGGTCGCGCGTGTTTTTGCGCGTGATGAGGTTTTGTTCTTCGCGTTCGTCTCGCTCTACGATGGATACCTTCAAAATGATATATTTTTTCGTTCAACAAGGAATATAAAACATTGTAATTGTCTAGTAGTACCTTAATTGTCATTCCATAAAGATCAATAACGCCCCACACTGTAGTAGGTACTCTTTGAGCAGCTACACCTTGGTCTAAACCATTGATAAAATAATGCAAATTGCCGTCTGGCTTCCTCATCATGCCAACCCTATCACCTTCGGTCAATTCGTCTAAATTAAAGTCGCCATATTCCCTTCTGGTGCCTTTTCCGTTGGTCAGAATTCCACATCCTGACATCATTATGGTACCGCTACGCATATTTGTCATTGTAGCAGGAAACACTAATGTATTTGGATTGTGAGTCGTTATACCCATCTAACAAGAGATAGAAAAACATGAGAAATGAAATTAAGTAGACTTTTTCCGTTATTGAAGATCTCTATTACTCATGCGCAAGTCTGACTTCCTGTTAAAATCATCAAAATTTGTTGTTATGTTTCGTATCCTGAGTTCCAATTACATATCCATAAATGAAATGTTTAACTTTAATTATTGGTAGTAGAGACCGTGACACTTTTATGTGTTATTTGCGCAAGGTAAAATTACAAATATTTCGTTCATTCTTACTTTGTAGAACATGGAAATACTTTGCTAGTCCCTGCAGCGATGGAGCCCTCGACGACATCGTCTTAAAAAGCTTGTTTAGAAAATGCCTTGTGCAAATGTTTACCAAAAAATTGTCACTGGCTCCCCTACTATACATACGAGATGACAGTTATTTAAAGTAACGATGACAGTGAGTAATCGTCGTAGCCAACCCGACAGTTGTAAGACGAGGATAAGAGAGAGATAGAAAATAAGTTGAATGGAAAATTACTAGATTCAAAAGTCCCGCGCGATGTTTGCGCATGAGTAGTGAGAAATTGTCGAATAACGAGAAAGGTGGATTGATTCATGAAAGTAAAATGACATTTAGGAACAATAAGTCATGAATATTAACCTCTATACTGCCGCTCCACTTGTCAACGAGCCTGTCAATACGAATTTCAAATAATTCAGAATCCCTCAAAGGTCGATGAGTCATAACTACTCCATTGTTAAACTCGTCAAGTGGTCTCCGTCGTTCTGCACTTCTGCTTGCATTTGACAGTTTGACAAGAGACCCACATCTGTCATGGAATCGCAGCCTATCCTGTCTGGGAATCTCGTCTGGCATACTTAAACTAAAACAATATCATTTGATTCAAAACAGTATAGACTTTTAGTAAATTCATTTAAACTCATACATTCTCAAAAAAAATCTTATTAAAGAATAACAGCTAGCTATTGGTGATAATTTTTATTTCTACATTAATAATGAATCTTCTAACTCAAATTAGAATTCAAAGATGAACAATATTCATAAAATGTGAAGAAAAGAAGGAACATTTTGAGTCTATGGACACAAAAATAAATAAAGGAAAATAATTCCAAACTCAAATAAGACCAAGATGTAAAATAAAGTCATGTGTCATTATTACATGATTTTGTTTATTTTAGTTTTTTCAGAGAAGCATTAATTGAATTTAAACAATTTGGTACAAAGCACTTTTTCGTCATTTGATCTCATAATTCAACAACAAGCAGCACATTAATTACTGACAGTAAAAATGCTTGATTTGGCCATTTTATTTCATTGATATCTCTAGAAAACCAAGGAAGGTAGATTCTAACAAAGTTTTGAAAGACTGGAACATATAAATCCAAAATTGAATAAACTACAGCATAAAATTGTACCATAGCTTCATTTACATCACTAATTTCATTTAGGAAGGACCAATTTGTCTGAGATAAATGAGCATATAAGTGAGGAAAATTTGCCTTTCTAAAATTGTACCTAACACCGTTGCAATTATACTCAAATACTGGATTTGATTTTGAAAAGCAAGCTTCGATTCTTAGTGCGGGCTGATAACCGTCTTCCTCTACAAATGGTTGAGTATCATGATGTACATGGCATTCAATATTTGATAAAACTAAATCTAAGATACGATCATTTTTATTAAGTATATAATTAGATTGTTCAAAAGCATAGACACTTATAAAGTTGTTTAGGTATATTAAATTGTTGGTTTTACTGACAAATTGTGGATTGTTGAACATAGGTTGGTTGAAATATCCCAAAAAGAGCACCCTAATGGTTGTAATAAGTTTTCAAAGTTGGCATTATTGGAATCCGGCATATAAATTACAAAAACAAATAATAATAATAATAATAATAATAAACGACTTTATTGAAAGATAATGTTAGTATGATACAATGGGCGAGATTTAGCTAAAGCTACTCCTAAATAAGGTAATATATTACTAGAACTTAAAATTATGACACTCTATGCAGTAATCTATCAAAACCTTCTATTTGTAAGAAATAATAACACATTTTTTCCCACTCAGATATCCATAACTATAATACAAGGCACAAAGATAACTTAGTCCCTATCCAGTATAGTCTGGAAAGGACAAAGAAATATTATATTGAGCTATACAATATACTATCACTTAATTTTAGAAATCAGCCTATAGATAAATTTAAACATGCATTAAAACAAATGTTATCCAATAATTGCCTATATAGCTTATAGGAATTTAAATAAATACAGATGGAGGATGGAGGCTGTCACTGTGGCCTCTGAGTGATTCAGTGAACTATGTTGTAAATGTTTGTAAATTTCAATTTTATATTTTTATATTATTATATTTAGGTAAATTTTATTATATATATATTTTTGGTTTTAATTGTAATTTGACGAGCCATAAAATGTAATATTTTCTCAGGTAAATAAAGATATTGTATTGTATTTAAACATAATGCGTCATCCTACAACATCTATTCTACCAAAATCCACATAGTATTGAGAAAGGTCAACCTCTGTTGCTATACAATCATTTCTAATAGGTAGGATTACACCTCTTTCTTTTGTGGAGTTGGTTGAAATTAGGTCCCTGTCCTTTCTAAATACCGTGTACTCGGTATGGAAAAGTTGACTATTGCAAAAGGCTGGTTACAACCATGTCTCTGTTATTGCAACAATTTGATAGTCACACGCAACAGATGACTTGTAAAAATCATTGCTTTAAGAGATGAGCCTTTTGGTAATAACAGTAAATATAGTTAAGTTGTTTCTGCTTGGACATTGTATTTAGTTTTTTATTATTTTAGGTTCTCTCCATCTTCAGTTCGTTGTTTAAGTTCCTCTTTTAAAAGCTTTAATTGATTCATTTGTTGAGGTGTTTTATCATTAGTAAGAAAGACGTTTTGGAATTTTGTATTTAGTTTTAAATTTTTATCTTTTCTTAAAATTTCTAAACTATTTTCGACTGACTCAAAAATTACTTTTATTGGTCTAGGTTTAATGTTTTGGGAATCATACTTGCTGATTCTAAATATTTTTGGAGTGGTTGACAATCCTGGGTTTAAATACTTTAAAAGTTCCATACAGTTTTCCTTTTCTTTTTGAAGAGTTTGATCTTCTGGTACACTGAAGATCATAATATTTTTCTTACGATTTTCTCTATCATTCAGTTCTGCTATTACTTCATTAATATAAGGAAGATCATTTAAGTTTGACGAAGATAGTGTGGGTTTCTTGTTCTTTAGGGATCCAATTTCATTATCGATTTCTAACTTGGCCTTTTTTAAAGTATTTATTTCCCCCTTTAGAAAAGTGATGTACTTTTTCATTGTATTGATTGTTTTCATAAGCATGGGCACACTTTTTAGACCCTCTCGGTATTCTCTACAGAAGAAGAGTTCCATTGCATTGAATTAATATTAGTGCCCTGTATTCACAGTGATTCCTGAACAATTTTTTTCTATGACGTTCTTATAGTGGAAGAACTCTTTGCAACAGTCGCAAAATACTAAGTTGTCTTTGCTATCATTACAGATCAAGTTACAATTTTTTATATGAAGTTTTTATTTATTTTAATAGTTGTTGAAACCTCAGAAACAGCACGCCACTGGATAGAGTTCTAAATAATGTCTAGATAAAGTTTTTTAGTGTTTTGCGATCCTTTATTCTACAGTTAATAATCAAAAACACATTTAGAGATGCATTTAATCAACTTGAATTGTATATCGCACTACATAGCTTGCACTTTACAGAATTATTAGGTATAATTTTCACAAAAACTAGTTTAATTTTACCACTAATAGACTGAAAAATGTATGTATCGCTTATATTTGCTTTCAACCTGTTCACGTTCATGACTATAAAAACAAGCAAGGAAACATGATTAAATCTAAAAAAAACTTTTAGTGTAAATTAAAAATAGCAAGGGTCCAAGGGGTACACCTGAAACAATTTTTAAAATTTGTTTTAATTAATAAGAGAGGTTTGTCAGAGAATCCAGTGTTATAAATTAATAGTAGATGGTTTAATGTGTCAAATAAAAAGCACTTTATTGGTCATATATTTTACAACCAAATGACCATCAACCTTCAGCTAAAACAATTTATATAGTATATATATAATATGCAGATTTACAAGCTATAATATAGTATAATGAATAGAAATATTATTAAGATGCACTTAAAAGCTAATTATCCTTGTTGTTCTTCAACAATTTCATTCATTCAATATTATTTACCTACTTGTTAAAGCCTTATTAATATTTAAGCTGTCCTGTAATTGTGTGTAAGGATTTTTTTTAAATATATATTTTAGGACTAAATAAATTTAATAATGGCATGAAAAATAGAACAAAAAGTGAAGAAATATTGAGTCTAAGTGAGAGAAAAAGTTTATTTAAATCTTGATATAATGTTCAGCATTTTTATTATATTCTAAGAATACATGAATAATATCCAAAATTCTAATTTTATATAAATGTGCAAGGAATCGGCCATGAATATTTATTACATTTCCATGAATAATTGATGTGTGGAATATTGTTAGGGAGATTTGGATGTATACTGAAATATTGACTTTTTGATTTCACATGCTTATTGTATTTAATTTCCAATATTTTCTGAAATCTTTTTTATAAACGTTAATATCTATCTATATAACTACAAAATGTTATTTGTTCTAAACTATGTGCTTCTTTAGTAGCCCTGTCCACAGATAAATTTCTTGCAATACCACAATGCCCTTTAACCAAAACCAAGATTTTATAGGTACACTGTTTAATATCAATTAGATTTTTTTAATAGGTAATATTACAGCTAGTTGCATTGATTTATAGCCGACAGAACTGATTATTTTAATTGCTATAAAATAATAAATAAAAAGTGAGGCTACATACCTAACATTCATGTCCATTCGAATATCCAAACTGTTACTGCTGCTCATACTTAGCTCACTTAAATCTCCTCCTAAAGTAACATTTAGAATGTCATTGTCAATAGCTAAAACTGAGCTGCCACTGAGGCAATCATCGTTATTGTGTTCCCTGTATGCTGGACTGGTAATTGTAACTTGAACACATTTACCATATAAATCTACTATGGCATACACCACACTTGGTAAATCTTCTGCACCAACACCTTGCGATTCACCATTTATGTAGAAAATAAGGTCGCCCTTAAAGTTTGAATAATAGTTTATAAAAATTCAGTGTTAATATGATCCCTACTTACTTCTGAAGTTCTCATCAAGCCAATTCTGTCTTCTTGATTTAGTCTATCCAAATCCATTCCATATCCTTCCACTAAACAAGCTCCATTTTTGAAAACTGTTGTTCCAGACATAATCTAATTCATATAGGTAAAAGATTGTTTGAGTTAGTACTAGTTTAAATGGAATATAAAGTTTTGTACACTTATTTTAATACTTCAGAGGACTTACCCATGATCCAGATTGAATTTTAGATGCACAGGGAGGAAAATCAAAATGTAGAGGGTCACAATCAACAACGCCGATTTCTAAGCTCCCAGACCAAGAATTTACCTATAAATAAAATATAACATGCCAAATAATAAGCGAAATGTTTTATTAAATATCTACGTACTTTTTTATCTATTTTTATTTCAAAAAGAACATCATTTTGCAAGGGTTCCGCCGATATGACCAGACCATGATCAAATTCACTTTCGTTACGTATAGCAGTGCAGTTATCGTTTATTAATGTGATTCTTTCACCACAGCGATAATGAAAGTAAGCCATTTTTGGGTATCTAGGTTTTATTCAATTGCATATTCTTTCATAATTACAATTGATTCGTTTTTAACTATTTGGAAAGTCGATTGTTTACACCCAAAGGGGACATTGATAAAACTCAAACTGACAGTGACACTTGATAAACAACAAATAACAAAGCCTTTCCATTGGTCATTCTCAGTCACGTTCTCGGTGCGGAAATAATGACAAAACATTCCAAACGAACAAACCATGCAAATTGATATCAAAGATCTTCTCCTTGCTAGATTAGTAAGTACACTAGGGAAGCCGATGAGAACAATATATATCTGGAAACAATGGCGGCTGGCACATAAGTTCTGTAGAGCTACAGAACTGCCAATAAAATCACAAATTATATTGTGACTAAAATGCAGGTATCTCATCTACATTTTACAAATATTATTTTAGACATTCTGCGTGAAATAAATTTTATGGATAATCTCATTAATTTTAATTGAATTTAATTATTAAAAATAATATCCATAGCTTACAAACCATAGAAATTTACAAACGCATCTTACTGTCAGTACATATCTGAGAACAGAGACAACTAGTTGTCTCTGCTGAGAATAAGTCCAGACAGAACGAACCAGAGGAAACCTCGCTGGTCATGGTCATAATATTCATCTCTTCTCACCCCGCCCCGCAGGTCTCTAAAACTAAAAAGTAATGCCAAGACACGTAGTGTTTGGGATGCATTTTTGCCAGATCGACGAGCTTTGTTTATAGTCTGTCGTCTTTCGCATATATGTGATTCGATTTCGGTTTTGTAGAATAGTTTGTTACTAAAAAGGACTAAAAAAAGAATGTAATGTGCGGATGGTGGGATACCCCACGGCACTGATTAGGCCCATTGTGAATTATGATAGGCACCTCCTAGCTCATGATCCAGCCTACATATTTAAAGAATTAATGTACAAAAAGTATGTGAATAAAAGCTGTAAAATAATAATTGTTTTTGACTGTCAAATTATATACTGCGCAGAATCCTGGTGTCAGTGACTGGTTTCTGATCGTTGTTGGAACAGACCTATAATTACTCAACATAAATAAATATTGACGTATTTCAGGGTTTTGGATTTTTACATTTTATGGTGGGGATATTGGGGGTGAACATTTGTATGGGAGTATAGAATATTTTAAAGGGAAAATTGGACATTGGAATTGTAGCTACTCATCATAAATAAATCACCTCATTATTTAGGGTTTTGGATTTTCACATTTTAAAGGGGGGAGAAAAGTGGTAACATAAAAATAAAATAAATAGAAACACATAAAAATAACTAAAAATAAAAAAAAATAAATAAATAAAAAAGAAATACCAGTGAATAGTACAAATAATTAAAAACGAATAAGTGAAACTTGTGGTATAAAAAATATGAGGAGTTAATTGATAGAAACCATATTTCTCATGTTCCTACCCCGACAGTCTAAAAAAGGACTGCTTTTCTCAAGGACAATTTTATGTGACCTGTTAGAGAGTCAGTTCCGCATGAACCCTAAAAACATATTATCCCTCCTTTTTTTGGAAAGTCGTGCATTTTTTTATATTAAAAACACGACTCCACGCGTGCGAAGCCGCGGGTAACAGCTCTAGTGGGGTCTATTCTGTAACAATTCCTTTATATTTAACGGCATTTAAAAATATTGGCGGCCTATAAAAATATGTTCGTATTCGTTAATTTACTTCTATCATTATTTAAATAGATTTCTTTAAGGACCGATTCCACCGTTGTATTAAACGAAGATTAAAATGACATTGTTAATGTAAAAATGTCATTTTAAACTTCGTTTAACACAACGGTGGAATCGGTCCTTAGATAGTCCTCTAATGTATTTTAAAGATCCGTTTAAATAGTTACCGAATTAAAGAAGAAAATATTTTCAAAGGCCGTTAAATATAAAGGAATTTTTACAGAATAGACCCCAGTATATACAGATAAATTTTTTGGTTGTTTAAGGACCGATTCCACCGTTGTGTTAAACGAAGTTTAAAATGACATGTTTACATTAACAATGCCATTTTAATCTCCGTTTAACACAATGGTGGAATCGGCCCTAAAAAAAAATGTTCACAGCAAGAGAATATGCAATCGTTAAACAATTTTTTTTAGTTTAGTTAGAGAAGGTCTTTCCTTTTGTCAATTGGCAGAACCGCGTTCGTTTGTTAACCACCGTGACGTGTTGCTGTCGCTTGTCGCTGTCTTAAATGAAATGTCAAAGCTGTCAAAGTCAAAGTATCGTATCATATTTACGAGTATAGTGAAAAGTGATAAATTCTAAAAAGACAGAATTAATATTGTATTACTAAGAAAATTCTGGATTCTGGAGTTCACCAGCAATAATTCATAATGCCGTATGCTAATCAACCCTCAGTTCATATAACTGACCTTACAGATGATAACTGCAAGTTTTACATTGAAGACACAGATTTGAGGTAAGCTTACTACTGAACCAAATATTAATTTTTTAACATTATTGTCAATATTTATTTCATAGTGTTGCGAATAGCATTCGCCGCGTCCTTATTGCCGAAACTCCTACTTTAGCCATAGATTGGGTAAAACTAGAAGCTAATTCAACAGTACTGGGTGACGAGTTCCTAGCTCATAGAATTGGCTTGATACCTTTAGTTTCAGACGAAGTTGTCGAAAGGTTACAATACCCCAGAGTAAGTAGCTATACTAAAGTTCTACATAAAATAATGTTTTCTAATGATTAATTTGTTTTAAGGATTGTGTATGCTTAGATTTCTGTTCAGCATGCAGTGTCGAGTTTACTTTAGATGTAAAATGCACAGACGAACAAACACGACATGTAACTACAGCTGATTTTAAATCTAGCGATCCTAGAGTCATACCAGCAACTTCCAAACACAGAGATGAAGAATCATCTGAATATGGAGAAACTGATGAAATTTTGATAATCAAATTGAGAAAGGGACAAGAGCTCAAAGTTAAGGCTTATGCTAAAAAAGGTTTTGGTAAAGAGCATGCCAAATGGAACCCTACCTGTGGAGTGGCCTTTGAATATGACCCTGATAATGCCATGAGACACACTTTGTTTCCCAAACCTGATGAATGGCCAAAGAGTGAATACAGTGAACTTGAAGATGACCAATGTAAATAGTTTTCTACATATTAACTTGTTAATTATAGTGCTAAAACATTGTTTTAACTAATTGCTCGTTTCAGATGAAGCTCCATTTAACTGGGAATTGAAACCAAACAAATTTTTCTACAATGTGGAAACTGCAGGCCTATTGAAGCCAGAAAATATTGTTATAATGGGTGTTGCTATGTTAAAAGAGAAATTATCTAATTTGCAGACCCAACTTAACCAAGAGTTACAAGATGCTTTGGCCATTCCAATTTAAAAAATGATAATATTTTAGTTTGTAAGAATTCAGTAAACGTTTTTTCATTAGTAATGTTTTTATTTGCAAAATCTATTGCTACAGCTTGGAAGTTCCATAGGAGTGCCTTCTTGGACCTCATCCTCTGAAACATTCTTATTAATTATATTTATGAAATATTCAAATGTCCTTTTATCTGCATACAATCTAATGGCGTTTTCCATTGGCACTGGCAGTATGCACTAAGCATATTTGTGTCCTTGTTTAACGTTATGAAAAAGAAGAAAGTGAGAATTCGCTCAAAACAAACTGACCATGTCAATGGAAAATGCCATTAAATTTTAATGATTGTTCTGTAATATTACTGAAAATTAATATAGTAGTATTAATTTGTATTTTTCGCAAAAAAAATCATATTAGTCATAAGTAGTGGATAAAAAATGACCAAATCATATAAAAAAATTATAAATACATAAATACAACTGAGACAAATAAACTTTTTATTAACTAATACAATATACAGTACAAACGTATTAAAAAGCTGCTTATCATTACATTATATGTAGTGAGAACTTACAATAAATTCAACAGCTCAGTTCTAAGAAAAAGGATTATTGCATTTATTTGTTCGGAATGTATAGAATAATATACAATATGGAAAGATATCCTACTCTTTTTCTTAATAAATGATCCATAACACTCATACAAATATATTTTATTAGAAACGTTATCGAAAACAATGAGATAAAATATACCCGCACATACATCAGAAAAATATGTTTCTATTTTCAGTTTTTAAGCACATTGATAAAATATATATTTTTTTCTCTATCGTTTCAAAAAATGAAGTATCTTCACTCTTATATTAGTAGGTGTATTAATATTTTTAATTGACACATTAAATACATACAGGAAAGGATATATAGATACTGGATGTCTTACTAAGTAACTGATATACCTACCGGGTAACAATGAGACGAGGCCAAGTTAATCAATTTCACTTATAAAGCGATTTGGGAAAAACCTACTAAACATTCACCATTAAGTTGGATTTTTTAAATTAATCATTCTGTATATTTTGTTTTTGCCATCTGCGGTTTAAATTGTGTATGACAGTGTTGCCAAATTTTCTTTTTTCCCAAACAAATTTGGTTTTTTGAGGTAGAAGGCCATGAACTGTAAAATAAAGTTCTAATAGCCTCGAATAACTCAATTAAGTTAAAAATAACTCTTTCACTTTTTCAAATGGCACCAATTGAGAGCCATTCATCTTTAGATGGAAAATTTAATTATCCACCACTTAAAACGTTTTCCAGTTCATAGCTTTCTAAAAAAAAAGTATTTGGGAAAAAATTAAAGTTTAGCAACACTGTCGTATGTTATTTGATACGTAGATTTCAAAAATCAAAGGATACATGTTGATATCCATTTAAAAGACCAAATTTATTAGCATTTCCGGTAAAACCGGAAGTTGGTCATTTTGTTTAAGTATAAGTTCCAATTCGAAATCATATGTATTCCAAACTTAAGTCTTATTGTCATCCGGTAGATCAAAGGAAAATAGAATTTCTTAGTACAATTATTTATATAAATAGTATTTAATTAAAGTTATGCCTGAGGTTTTTAGAGAGATAGTTTAAACCTTAATGGCTATTAAGGTAGGTAACGGCGCACTCAGATATTATATTTGGGTGAATTTTAAGATTTTGTAGTGATAAATATTATAGAATAAATTGCTACCAAATTATTTATATTTCAGAGGGGGTTTGGGTTGTAACCCCTCAAATTTCACTTGAGTGCGCCACTGAAGATAGGAAAATGTTTCTGGTAGTCTACAAGCTAGCGGACCATCAGGCAAGGGCGGCTCCAAGACGAATTTTCGAGGGGCGGGGGTGCATTGCCTTTAGCCATTCCCTTTTTAGCATATTTTTTTGAATAAAAGGCCTATAAATCGTAAGAATTTCACCTCGGGGGGGCCATACCCCTCTGAGCCGCCTTTGCCATCTAGGAGGGTCATCTGCACGGATTTAATTAAGAACGCCTGCAAAGATGAAAAAAATATTTGCATATCACCCCTTTAAAAATTTGTAATTTTTTTGTTGACATTTACAATACACATACATGATTTGATAACTCACTTGACATGTCTCGATAGCTCAGTTAGTTAAGCATTCAACATGCAGCAAAATTTGCATTTCGCGACCGCGGTTCAATTCCAAATGATTTTGGAAAAAATATGAAAATTGAAAAAAATACATACTATTGTTGTTAATTTATTTTAAATCCATTTTATTTATCATCAAAATAATAATTATTGTTGATTTGTTATAATAATTATTATGATAAAAAAATGCTTTTTAATAAATAAATAATACTACGTATTTTTTTCAAAATAAAAAAGATTGCTTTCACTGGAAATTGAATCACGGTCGCAAAACGCAAATGTGAATGGATGTTGAATAGCTATCGAGAACATGTCAAGTGAGTCATCAAATCAAATATGTGTAATGTAAATTTCAACAAAAAAACACAAATTTGAGGGCGTTTGACAACCCTTTAGCAGTGGCCTAGCCATTTGACGATTTACATACCTCCTATGTGACCTTCAAAGAGGTAATATGTAAATTTTTAGCCGGAGGTATGATCGTTTTTTTATCCGATATTTTTTACAACTTTTTGTTTTCTTAGCAGGGGTTATAAAATAAATCCTTGCAGATGATTCCTCCTTATGGACTCGCCAACCATAGTACTCAGTCTAAGGGTATTTATGTAGTGTTAATTACCTATATAAAATAATAAAAGTAAGACCGAATAAATTTCTTGAATATTTTGTAAGTTTGGAAATTATTAAATAAACAAAGTATAACACAAAAAGGACTAGAATTCTTAAATACTTAGTAGAAGTACTACGTTTTAAAGGTTAATTTACAATAAGCAGTTCGATCTTGTTTTTGATACGAACAAATAAATAGAAAGTATAATAAAAAATACATATCAAGGAAGACAGATTGGAATAGAAAGGCCAATCATGGCAGAGAAGAGGAAGACGAAGGAATTAGTGGATGGAGAAAAAAAAAAGGAAAATATAATAATTTTGATGACCACACAACAGCAAAATCTGACATATAAGGACACAAAAAAATATTTGGAAACAGCCTGGAAGATTGTTAAGCATACATTTGTGTAATGTCAGCGAGCAAAACAAAACATCTCATATATTTTTGTAACTAAATTATTTTTTTTTGTAATTATTTAAATGGTATATTTTTAGATGAATATCTTGAAAGGAATAGAAAAATGTAAATTTTATTTATTAGTTGTTTGTTACTTAGTGATACATCCAGTAGAATATGTGAAAAAATAAAAAATAAATGAATTAAAAAATGTAATAAGATTTATTAACAAAAAAGAAAATTCTTAACAAAATAAAAGTTGTTTCAACAAATAGCAGTGTCACTTTATAAATGTAGGTTTGAACAAATGTACCTAAAAATATGACATGGGCATATTATTAATGGAAATCTACATTGGTAAAAAGTTTTCTAAATGATAATGATTAGGTATGGTATTGAAAAAACATGTAACACAATTAATATTTCACATACATAACATACAAATTTTCTTTTTCACATATACATTTTGTTTCAAAAAGTTGATTTTACATACTATATGCATCATTTTTGATAAAAAATTCTTAATACAAAATTGAGTTCATTATTAATTTTTAGATAAATAAAATAAAATTTTCAAATTCCATTTAACTGATATTAAGCCAAATATTTTGTATCGAACATGAATTTCTATTAACCCATCTTTGACCAGTGATGTGTTTTCGCAACACCTTAAATTATATTTTTCAAGTATCTATATATGATACATTTATGACATCTATTTTTTTTACGATATTAACAGTACCGTCAAACTAAGAAACGTTAAAATTTAGATTTTTTTCATATTCCTATAAAATACATTTTCATAAAAATGATAATTTTTGTTGTTGGATAAGCAATTTTCAAATAAGCCTAACTTTTTGTTTAGGGCCAGTCTTTTCACATCTGAGTAAAATTGAAAGTAACTACTTGCTGATTAAACTCTAGGACTATTGTTGGTTAATCTGTCAAGTAAACCTTCATGTAACTTTACTCAGAGATAAAAATCCTATTCCTCACTCAATAAAATGTTAAAAATAAAGACTCATACAAATTATTTATTTATAAGAACCATTACATATCTAATCAAGTTCAAAAAGTTAGGCGTTGCATAAGTGCATCACTGTTCAAACAGTAGTTGAGTCCAAAAAAAATTTTTAGACTAGTAAACATTTTATTTAGCTATCATTGTTTATCATTGGATTTAAAATAGTTTCTGTACTTTTATGATTGGTGTACTGATGGGAAATGTGAGATGCTGATATAGGCAAATTTTACAACTCCACCCATGTCTTAGGAAAAAAAAAACAGTAAAGAGATATAGTCGACAAGAAAAGAAAGTTGTTTAAGTACCACAACCAAATGTTGTTTTTAAGTATAATATATACATGGGTAAAGTTGACCTTCAAGACAATGGAGTAGCCAATTATTGAATAAATATAAAAGGAAAAAAATGGTGGCAACCATTGACAAAATTATGGTAAAGTCATGGAAAATGTATAACATTACACATGACAAAAAAAACATCGTAGCTATAATTTAGATCCATTGTTTTTTGCTTACTGAAAGTAGAAATAAAAAAAGAAAAAAAAAGCAAATCCTCTGATAAACTACCAAGTGAAACCAGATAAACACAGTACCCATACTCCACAGAATGCAGAAATCCAAAGAGTGTCATAGCCAGACAATTTATACATGCGGAAAATCTAACAAAAAACTTGTTTGGCTGCTTCCAGATGTACCATAATTAGTTTAAAGCACTGACCAGTGATGCGTTTACACAACACTCTGTTTTTTGTAAAGTATCTATATGTTTAAAATTTGTTGTTTTATTCTCATGAAGGTATTTTGATAAGTTTTATAAAAATATTAATTTTATTTCTTTGATGGGTTGGTTATTAATGGGTTAATAACATAATGCATAAGAAATTAATAAAAACGTTTCCCATATAGCGCACATCTTTTTGAAACATTTTATAAAAAATTTTTGTAAATCAGTCTCTTGAAACCTACTATCAAAGCTCAAAATTCAGTGACTACATTTTTGTCTTAAAAACTAACACACATAATAGCATATAAATGTAAAATAGCAGTCAATTGTAAAGCTGCTCAATCATTCCCACTTATTTATTTCCATTTTTTGAACCAACCAAACAATTTTAAAAATGTTCCAGGACAGTAATACACTAAACTATAACTGAGACTGTTGTCCCACATTATGTGTCATTGGGACTTCATACTGACCAATTTTTTTCTTCTAGCTCTGACTTCTGATCTTGTATTTGTATATTCGAACCATAAAACATTTGGTATCAGAGTTGTGTCTCTCAATAAAAGCAATTCTGATATCCTCCAGGTTACTACTTGTGGGAATAGGGGCGCAAGTATTAAATAAGTCAAAGCAAACCAAAATGTTGCAAAAATAATGCCTAATAATGCTCCATACAGCACCTGTGATACACTATGGTATTCTAAATAGATCCTGCTTATACTGACTAGAACAGCCATTGATAAAGAAGAAAATATTATCAAAAATTTTGATAAGCTTTGAATTATGGTGTTATTATTCATATGTTGCAACCTACAAAACAAATCAATTTTCAAATAAAACTTTAAAATATAATCCGAATCACTTTATAATACCTTATATACACAAAGTATATGACATAAGTTGCAAAGAACCATACAAATTGTGCATGTGATGATGGCATCCCATATTCTACATGAACTCCGTCCCTTCTCAATGGCCTTGCTTCACATATTATATGTTTTAAAATATAATTTAATATTTCAGAAGCTATTGTTCCCAAGAAAAAGGTTATCTAAAAAATATTGATATATAATACTGGATAAAAAATATATTAAAACTTACAGTGTGTAGGTCTCTCCTGAATAGAATAAGTGCTACAAAACCACAACCTATTCCAAAAGGAGCTAAGCTAATTAAAGCCAGGAATTTTCCAAAAATATCACCTAAAAATTACAAATAAACTTATTAAAAAAATATATAGCACTAAGGGCCATTTACCTTTAGGATATTCCACCAATGTAAGAGTTAAAGGTACCCACTCTATATTAACATTACTTAGAGTGTCAGGAAATATATTTCCCTCATCATTAGCCATTTCGCATGATTGTATAATAAATAATAAATTTAATTTATTGTTTTATAAATTCGCTTACAACACATATGTCCATCCATAACCAACAAACAACAAACGTCAAGCGTGTCAAGAAATGTCAGATGATGGTCAGATGAGATGTCACAAACGTCTCGTTCCGACATTGGGTTCGGTCTGCCAAGTTCATTTAACTCCTTTAACACTTTTTACTCCAAACGACCCTTCTAGCGTTCGGTTTAGTCCGATTAGTGACAGTTTAACACAGATAAATTAATTTATTAATTTATCTATGGTTTAACACGCTTTAATGTCATTTAAAAGCACTCTAAAAAAACTTCGCTTTTGTCCCGCTCCAGCCCCTGATTATCCGAACTCGCCTCGAATATACAATGCGCGGTTTTTTATCACTCTGCGCAACTTACAACGTAGAATGGAAGATGGAAGATATAATTCTGTGACCAAGATGTAAATGAATGCGAGAGAGAAAACCGAATTGTTAACCGTCATCAGAACTCCTTAAAAACGGACATATTAGTCAAGTGTCAGAATTCAGAATCTAAAAAGATTGGCTGTTATTAATTTTAGTAAATAAAAATCATTTAAAAAATACCGATAAAACCCAGCCAGAAACACTTAATGCATTTTACTCTCATATAAACGTGTAATACCAAATATGGCTGTTCCATACGTTCTGCAAATAAAAAATGTAAGTCGACTTCCTAACCTCAAAATATAATAAATCTAATTTGTCTCTAATATTGTAGGGTGTAAATGCGATACGTTTAACAGATTTAGATAAAGCATTCGATGATACAATTCCCCATTTAACATATTTATCAGATTTAAATACCAGTTTGGAGCAATTTCCAATGCCAATATTGGCCCCTATAGAAGTAAATAAGAGTAAAGACACCGCTAATATCCAACTTCAAAGTAACGAAGATATTGATCCTCAAATTAATTATGTTTATCGAGTTGTGTACCCCGATCAAGTTACTCCACAGGTATACTTTATTCATATTTAAAATTGCTTGATTTACAGTGTTTATTCCTGTTGTTTCCAGCCTGCAAAAAGAGGGCGAAAGAAAAAGAAGAAAATTGAAGAACCTGAAGAAGTTAGAGAAGAACCAATTAAAATTTTAAAATCTGCTCCAAGAACAAGGTCTGGTCGGGTTGTTAAATTTCCTAAACACATGGAAAAAGTGAGTCTTACTAATAACTTTTGTGCTTTAATTAGCTTGATCACTTTTCGATTATGAACACACTAAGCATACATACTTGTAAATATCATTATTGTAAAAAAAACCTAAGTTCCTTATCTTGTGCAAATGAATAATAATGACACAATTTTTTAAAATAAAAATATTTCTCCTAATGTTTCTCCAAGCAGTTGCATAAATGTGAACATTATGTAACTGGTTACGAAAAATTCATTAGGTCATATAAATAATTTTTTTTTAAATCAATGTATACATTGGTACCTATTGAAAGTAATATCAAAGTAAGGAAGGTTGGTTATATAAAAATAGATTTTGTTAGTGAACTTACAACCTAGTAATTATGTTTTGGTTTTTATTTTCCATTCCAAAGCTGCACAAAAAATAGAAAGTGGTTGATAATATATTATATGATTTTTATTTGTCAATGAAATTAATGAAGTTATGCAACTAACAATGCAAGAAAGTAATATTGGTTGCATAGATGTTAGTAACGTTTTACCAAACACAATTTTATAAATATTAGAAAAAATATTGTATGTTTTGTGTAACTGGTTCATTTTATGGGACCACATTCTGCTTGTCCCTCAAAGATTCACTTATTACATAAACTTGTAACAAAAACTATTAAAAATGTAGGTAGTCAACCATTAGAAATATCTTAACTGATATTGGGCCTTACTCACTAGATTCATGCAATAAGAGGAGCCATTTTTAGTTTTTTTCTGCATTAATTTTTTTTTGTTTTTTTTTTTTTAATGGCATCTGGCCATATCTCGGAAATTGTTTATCTGGCAAATTTCGTGATTTTTTTTACAAAATCGTTAAAAGATTTTTTAAATGTTTTTAACTTTGCAACTGTCCACTATGTCACCTGATATATCACATACACAATATAATTGTGTTTTCATAAAAAAAATCTATATAGTTTTAAACCAAGCTTAAAAAAAAAAACTGAACAATATTTTGAAGTGTGGTGCATTTTATTATTTTTCTGTTAGTTGTACAGGTTGTAACGGAAAGACAACATGTAAATATGTTTAGTTTTAAAGAAAATTCTTAGGTAAGTCAATGCGATTATATGTGGTTTAGATATCAGAAGTCAGTCATTTTTCAAGTACTTTAAAACAATTCCGTTTCTTAAGAAGTTTGTACAACCCCTAGGCAGAGCTGTCAAATAATTGAATTAGGTTTTTGAAACCTTAGAAAGTAATTGTAATTGGTAATTACTTTAAAGATATATGAGTAATTGGACTATTTTTTGAAGAATCCTATTCCTTTATAGTAATTCAAGTACTTTAGAGTAATTCAATTCATTTATTGTATTTCAATTACCACAAAATATTCAATTCCCATTTAAAAACTGTAGGAAACTGTAGTGCGTTACTGCTTTCTGTTTATTTGTGGTTGGCTTTTATTAATATTAAGAGGCTTATATTATGCGTAACTTTTTTATTTTTAAATATACTTGAATGCGGCTTGATATCTGATGGTTGAATTTCAAGTTATGGACCATGTAGAAATTTTTATTAGGAATACATTTTTTCACAAAACCAATAATAAAAAAGTTTTCCGTATGGTTCCAACTTAAGTATGAGGTGAGAAAATGCGTAGTTGCCAAGTTATAGATGATTTAATGTAACTATAGTTTAGCTGAAGTCAGTTACGGAGAAACTGTTGCCATAGAGACAGTTGTCATGGTATTGACTAAACAAAAAACCCAAATACAGTGGTAAGGAAATGGTAGCTAAAATCAGTTACGGAACAACTGTTGCCATAGGGACACTTGTCATTATAACAACTAAACAAAAACTTACATTTCGAATTGAAAAAATGCATAGTTGCCAAATTATAGATGATATAATCTAACTTTCGTTTAGCTGAAAGCCATTTTTCATGCAAGCCTTCTACCTATTACTTTCTTTTTATATTGATATTATATTGTACTAATTAAAATGGTTGTAATGTTTAAAATTTTTCACTATTAATACTTTTTAGATAAGACACTTTTTGAAGCTCACTGTAAACTTCAGAATATTTTTTTAATTATAGCTCCAAGGCGGGTGGGTGGCTCAGTGGTATAGTCTCTGCCTGCGGATCCAAGAGTCCCAGGTTCAAATCCCACCATTGGCCGGGATTTTTTTATTTAATTTAATTATTTAAAATTAATTCTGGTGCCTTGGTAGGATTCCCCACTCGACCATTCACTGTTGGGTTCTAATTAACAGTGCTATTCCTAAAGTGGCGCAAGGAAACAGTAACAAGGCCTGTCTGTAGGGGTGTGGGAGTATTAGAGAACTAATACTCCTGCACTATGGAGTATTAGACTACTAGTACAATTCATAACCTACATAGAACACGGGGCTAATGACCTTAGTTGTTGAAGCCAGACACCAATGAAAAAATTATAGCTCCAATAGATATTCATCTTTCTGTACAAAAGTAATTTAAATAAAATCATGTTATAGTCTGGACCGATGTGTATAGGATGCCCCACCCTTGTATGTGTTACAAATGGCTTTATATTCGTTCTAATTTAAATGGGGTAATAATATTTATGATTGTATTATTATGTTTGTGCATTACCTTGGTCTCGAACCATTGGACCCGGTCACGTAGAGGCCCTTTGGTAATAAATACACATGGCGGATAAAATCTTCGACAGCATCATATGATATATCCGGATACTATAATTGTTTTTATATTACTAAGAAGTAATAATTACTATTATTTGCCTGTAATAAGCACTAAAATAACAATATAAGCACTGGCCTGTCATGCAATTCGTTACATTTAGGATGATATAACTCGGAACGGACAAGTAATTGAGATGAGTCGTGATGAAGAGAAATGTTCTCCTTAAAAATATCTTTCAATTGGTATATAACTTATTCTCATTGGGGGAGGGGCAATTTCCCATACATTTCCGCCCATTGTCCTTTATTAAAAAATATATGTGCTTTTTTATTTAAATAATTGAAGTTTATAGTTAAGCCAGAACAATTTTTCTCATTTTTAAAGGTTGGGTTAGATAAACTGGATTAATAAAATATCGAAATTAATATTATGATTTCTAGATGTAAAATTAGAAAGTGCATTCAATTCATCCGTCAGCTAGCGCCTTCTAGCAGAAATTATGCGAGACTTGCCAGTGGAATTGTCCCGGCGTGCATTTCGTTGAATTATTCGTAAAGCGACTACCGTTTATGGGCGTACGGAGAAATAATGATTTTACATGGAGAAATAAGTTACTAAAAACATACGAGTTTAAATTACCAGGATTATTTTAAAATACATACACCAAAATCAAGTATCCTTGCATACAAGGTCTCCTACTATAAAGTAACACTTTGTAGCAACTTTATAATTATTTTAGATTGAAAAGAGATCGACGTGCGGTTTTCACTGCACTTTTTGAGTTTTATGAAGTCTTTGTGGACGTTATTGGACTTTTGGATCGCTACCAACCAAACAAAATTAGATTTCTTTGGACTAGAAGATTCACCAGCTGCAACAACCAAACCTATCAGTAATACGTAAAAAGTTGAATTAGAAATTTTGCAACAGATACCATAATGATCCAAACACAGAAATTACTGCTCTAAATAATTACTCTGTCATGAGATAGTTATTTTTCAAATTCAACACTTGCCTTCCTTCATCGGATAGAAAGGTTGTTCTCTTTTTCAGAAATCATTAATGCTCCAAGGAGACATGCTTTATCTGATCTTCACTTCGAGCAACTGGAACTTATAAAGGCAAACGCCATTAAATGTGCAAAAGACGTTTTTCTTAAATAATTTATTAAGAAATTACGCTGTTGTAAACCATCATTGTTTTTGTAATATTATAATATATTAATCTTAAGATTAACATAGGCTTTTATTAAATTGATTGATGAAAAATTTTTAATAATTTTTCGGTAAATTGATAACTCATCGGTAATTCAATTAATGGAATAATTCAATTACTTTAAAGAAATTTGACGCAGATAAAGTAGTTGAATTTACTAGCAAAAGCAATTGAATTATTATAATTGTACATTTTCAATTCCTTTTATGATAATTGCAAGCACTTTTGAAGAACTAAAGTAATTAGTAATTTGCATAGTTTTTTGGTGCCTAGTAATTGGTAATTGGTACTTACTTTGCAATTGTGACAGATCTGCCCATAGGCACACTTCATGAATGGTTTTCAATATTAAAATTCCAGGAAGTATATTTTTCCCGAAAGCTTCATTTAAAGTCAACCGCGCATATACGGCAGATTTCAACCGTATTATGTAGTAAATATGGTTGCAAAATGTATAATTGATGTATTTACCAGTTGTAAATTATGTGTTTTGCTATGTTTTCCTTCGGTTTTCCTCTGGTTCTGGTGAATACATCATTCTTACATCGTGCAGTTGGTATTTGGCATCAATTTTAATTTTAGTTTTATTTTTGTTTAATATTTAGTTATGGATATTGACGTGTACAACACAATACACTTTGTACATTGTCCCTAGTACAAAAATACAGAATTTGAATAAATAAAAAAATAAATAAATGGCTATTATTTGCCTTAGAAAACAAACATTTTTTAGCTCGTCAATAAAATTACTAAAAAATTATAAAATACAAAATAGTTTAAAATTTGAAAAAGTAAAGTTAATAAACAATTGAATCAAAATCAATTCCAAATCATTCAAGAATCAAAGGTAGAGTTTCCATCCTCCATTTGCAGATTTGGTATTTCTCTTAAGAGGGACATAGTACTTGTTCTCGAAAAAAACGTTTTACCCTTTCCCGTAAATTTTTTAATTGAAAAAACGAGCAGATATTTTATGAAGTTGGACATTCTTAACGTTGTTTCTCTACCCAGCACCCCTTTTTATTGCCTTTCCAGATAGTAGTTAATATTCTAAAAACAAATGTAAATCAGAAAAGTGGTCAAACTAGATATTTACTATTCTTGTTAAATTAATTATTGGTTTGGATATTTTTGTAGGATTTCAAAAAAGTTGAAATAAAAGACACCAAAAAACCAGTGGAAAACGAAGAAGAAATAATAACGGATTTTGTTACTTTTAAAGAAGAACCCCCATCAAAGCAAACAGAATTACCTCTGTTAAACTTTCATCAACGTCGAAGAAAAATTGCTGCCCAATACAGATGTCCGAAATGTTTAAAAGCGTACTTAGGCAAAACGAAAATGATTCAACATATTAAAAAATATCCGGATCACGGGCCTTTACCTCAAAAGGAAAGTAGCAAAGTTAATTTCGAAGTTTGGAATTATCTGGTCGATATTACTCAGAGGTGCACCCCTGCGCAAAGGGGGATAAAATTTTGCGAGGAATTAACCAATTTGTTGCACAATGTGCTGTTACTTACTAGTGCTCTCTTTAAAAAAGTTGAGCACAATAAAAACTTTGTAGAAGTCGATAAAGTTTTAGGTAAGTTATTTTATATCGGCACTACTTAAACTTGGGTTAATCAGGTAAACAAATATAACAAGGGGGTCTTCTAGATTCCACATTTAAACCATTTCTCTTTGACTTATTTATAAATACACTAATAAACAGTTCTATGCTTGTTTGTGGTGTTGCTGATGCTTTATAAAATTTATTAGAAATATTTTTTAATTAACCATACTCAAACATTATTGAAACTTTCTTAAAAATGAAATCTGTAGTAAGGCAAAAACATTTTAGTACATTTTTAACGAAAACAAAACATAATGCTTCTTTACAATCAAAAATACTACACTAATAATTTTTCTAAATGGCATCCGTTATTATTAAGACATACTACTGCTCGTCTTTGTTACTCTAGAAATTTAGAAAAATCTAAACTTTGTCGGATTTCTACGGCCACATTGTTTATTTTCTCAGTTAAATGTTTAACAGTTATCACAAATGTACGACATGGAAGCCGTAAAAAAATCCGTGCTTGCCAAGCATTTTCTCCAGCGTTTTATAAATTTCTAGTGGAAATCCTAATCAATCTTTAAGCAAATTCATAATTCGTGGACAGGTGTCACTACCACATATTTTTTATCATGACCAGTAGATGTATCTTTACTGTTCTTTTCAAGGAACCAATGTTAATGTAGGTAATAAGGAGTGGTGGACAAATTGTTTCTACTTTTGCCATTATTGTATTGTTTACATAACGATTAAGTCCATATTTATGAAACACATCTTGACCAAATGCTTGACAGAGTGCGTCCTTAATCGAAAATCGAAGTTTGAATATATCACGGGAATTCAGAGATGGACTGCACAAATGCTAGAATCACCTTCCACTCTAGGAGTAGTTATACTACACCCGAACTTCTGTCAAGGATGCACTCGGCCAAGCATCTTAGTCAAATACGCTTTATAAATATAGACCTTATATATTTTAGGTAATGCTATAGGACTCTCACCAGGTTTTTACACCTTTAATGATAGCGAATTGTATAAAGATGTCACTGTACTAAAATTAATCACGACAACAGACTTTTTTAAACCTGTCAATTCAACAACATCGCAAACAGAAAAATCTATAACTGCAAGCCCACAAGAAATCGAAAAAAATACTGTTATAGTCAAAAAAGAAAGTGTCGTGGTAGCGGAGCCTGAACACGGCACAAAAAAAATTGAACCGGTGTATTTTAACAGTAGAGAAGACTTGAGAAAAGATGAACCGAGTTTTTGCATGCAGGAAATAGAACCGAAAATCGTCACAGATCTAGCAGACATACCTGATGAGTATGGGAAAAAAGATGAAAATCTGCATATTGATTCTGAACTATTATCGCATCATTCATTGCTGCATTTGTCGGCCATTCGTAACACGGAAGAAGACTTAATGTTAGCGTCAGTCGACCCTGGTGGTACTCTGTTAGATAACTCTACGAGTTCCGATGAGGTAATGAATGTAGATCAATTTGTCAACGAGAGGTTTAAAAAGATCACAGAGCCCGATTTGGAATTGGGGACCTCGTCTTTGAATTTGGACTTGCCGAGTTTGGATTTGTTCCAATTTCATGCTACGTAGCTGTTCCTAGTTTTATAGGATATCTCGATTTATATGCTACGTTTGTTTATTCACATTTGACTGTTCCATCTCATTTGCTTTTATTTATTCGAAACTTATCATTGTTATTTGTTGGATTCGTCTATCGAATTTTATACACTACTGATGTGGCTACATGCAACTGATATAGCATTTTCGTGCATACTATCAAAAATGATTAGTTTAATTTTCAGTTATTTTCCTCAATTTGAATTACAAGAATAATATATTTAATCATCGACGATTAGATTTTGTCATTATCACTTTTAACACGTGCCCACTTATAGTGACTCAGAGGCCCTTTAGGCAATTCTTCATTACATGCAGTGCTAGTAAATAACAAAGGTGCCAAAGATTTATTTATGTTTCCATTATGACTTTTTATTTTTACACACGTCATTCCGTTCTTTCACTTTTAATATACTTTATACATCTTTAATACAATTTTATTTCTTTTTATTCTACACACATGTTATTCCGTTCTTTCACTTTAAATATACTTTATACATCTCCAATACAATTTTATTCAATAGGATCTACAAAATAAATAAGACCCCACATACTACGTCTAGAGCGGTTCTTTACTACATCTACATTTGAATCTAATCTTCAATCACGTGATCAAAAAAATCACGTCTTAGATGCATCCGATGTGGTTAAATAAACGTAAGATTAGTTTTAAGTATTTATGCAATTATGTATATAATGAGACTGAAATAAATTTGTGTTTTTTAATAAAATCTTTTTCTATTACCACCTGCGCACCTAATACCGCAATCAATGTTTTACCTAACATTTGTTTTTTTTTTGCTTTTTTTATTAGACTCAGATGCTTAGCTTAAAAAAATCCCTAATAAAATGATATGCATTAGAGCTTTCAATCGAAATATTATTGGCTCATACTCTGAACAAACCGTCTAACATCGTAGAGCTAAGAAATTGGTTTTCCTTTGAATTGACACAATTTTCCGTTGTTGAAAATGTGCAACGTCGGAGAACATGTTTCTTAACAAACACAAACATGCTTATAAAAATGTGTTACGTTATGTATGGGGTATTAACACACTGCAACCTAAAATATCTATTGTGTCCCCTTCTGTCGCTAATGCAGTCTATAACGACCCTTCCAATCCTATCTTCTCAATTCCGTTGGATTCAGGAGTGCTACACATTCAGTCAGAATGTGAATGGATATTTCGTCCTTCTCACAGAATCTGCACTCACTATCTTTTACCAGTTCCAGCTTACTAAGGTGTCCTTCAAGTCTGCGAAGCCCAGTGAGGATCACTGTTACAATACGTATCAAGTTCTTGCTCAAACATATACAGGCTTTCGATCTTTTTGATTATAGTCGCCCAGAAGTATCTTAGCTCCAAAGGATTGTTCCAATTATTAGTTCTTCTACAACCCAATTCTTTTTTAATCTCTCCTAATATTGTATTACTATTGGTACCGTAAAACGGCTCAGCTCACACAGGGGCGTTTTAATCCCTTTTTTGTGAGACTATCTACAATCTTGTTACCCTTTACCCCATTATGTCCCGGGACACAAGTGAAAGTACTGTATTTTTCTCGCCTCGCTCATTCGATTTTTCTAGGCATCTCCAGACCATTTTTGAGATGATTACATAAGAGGAAGCGCTTTGATGGCTGCTTGGCTATCGGGCATGATAATAATCTCTCGATTTTGAACTAGATATACTATTTAATTGCGTGAATTTCAGCCTGAAAGATGCTTGAGTACTTACCCAAACCTGATTCTAAAGCCATGAACTCCTATTCCAGATCTTTATGTGATTTTAGAAACATCCGTATTGGTTTTGTGGTATTGAAACCATCCGTATACCACCAAATTGCATTCCTTTCGGTTTTTTTTTGTGGTGGAGGGTAAACCGCTTGGCACTAGTTGCCGAGTCTATGTATACCAGTAGTGTCGGGCGTTACTCCGACTAAAACCCATCCGATCTTACGCAGGGGACGATCTGGAATTGTTCTCGCGAACATAACGTCAGATCGTCCCTGCCTTTACCTAATCAGCTTCCTGTGCACGTGCCTCTTGCTGTTTTAATTCTATCACTTCCTTTACGAAATTGTGTATTACTTCCCACTTGTTTCTGCTTTCTCGTCAATTGTCCGTTCCATGGCTGTTCTGATGGGCATATAGAATCTTGCACTGTGAGCGTATGGACTACACTATCTTCTGCGTTGCAATAGATACATTTTTGAGGATTCTATGATTTTAATTCGCTTCAGGTAATTCCTGAAGCAGCCATGACCCGTTAGTACCTGCATGAGGAAGTAATCCGTCGTTTTGTGTTGGCATTCCTACTATTCCTTAATTCTTGGTATCAATTCTAATTTTTCCTCTTAAATCTACCAGCAGTCTGTAGAGTCGCCTTCCTCCGACTTATTCCCGCCAGAAAGTTTGCTCTTCCTGTCCTTTTTGTCAACACCTCCCCATCTATCATCAGTTATCTCCTGTTTTGTAGTTTGGCCACTGTTCCCTTCTTTATTTTCCTAGGTCGGGACGTTGCTTTACTATTTTTATATTTGTTGCATTGTCCCCCGGGTCGAAGAAAACCGCAACGTCTATATCTCCTGACACGAAAACGGAGTTTCCTTTGTAAATGTTCGTATGCCTTTCGGTTGTAAACGCGATGGATTTTTGGCTCTATTATTTCTTTAGTCCAGGTCTGTAGTTTTGGACTACTTCTTTCTCATTTCGTCCTGGGGCATATCCCAAGTATCATTGGCCCTGGTGCTAATGCAAACACAGTCTAGTCTTTGTACTGTTGTGATATTATTAGCTATCGTAGTAGTTAGACTACAGCCCTGTAAGTGATGATTGGTCTCATTATTGCTGTTTACATCCATCGCAGAGTGTTCGGGTTACATCCCTATCTTTTTCCCACATTGTTTCTGCATGTCATTAGGGATTTTGTGGCCTTAACTATTTGATTCTCATGTATGTGCCAGGGAAGTTTGTTGTTCAGGGTTAGGCCTAGATATTTGATTTCTTTTTTCATTCAATATATCTATCCTGTCTAACTTGACGTTTTTAAGATTTCTCTTTTCCTTGAAAAGGCTACTTGTTGTTTTGGAGGCACCATCGTTTGGTCTACTCCAGTCCTCTTTGGACTATATCGTCGGCATAACCTTGACAGATGGAATGTCGAGGGCAGTGAATTTTTATAGAAGTTCGTCTACGATTGGGCTCCGCATTAATGGGGATTGAGATGGTGTCCTGTCCTATCTGTGTCTCTGCAGTTCTCGTAGATAACAGCTCAGCCATGCATCTGGATGTGGAGCTGTCTACTCGTCTGTATGCGAGAGCTCTTTTGACAGATTCGTGTGGCGTGTTTTCAAACGCTCCTTTTATATCTAGAAGGCATACACGACCGTTTCTTTGTCAGTGCTCCCTGGATTTCGTTTTTTTGGAGTAACTCGATCCAAAATTCACTTTTGAACATCTAAAAGTTATTTCAAATAAACTATGTTCTGTTACATTATGTCATCTGTAAAAATAGTATACTTTGAGCTATTCCATTCCATCTGCGTGTATGCCCTTCTAACCTGGGGTCACTCTTCTGCGCATGCCTCGCGGTTTTTTAAGTCTGCAACGCAGGGTAGTCAGAATAGTAGCAAGCATTAAATATCGAGAAGATCTTCAACCTTATTTTAAATATTTAAATATACTAACAATTCCCTCCCAGAATGTCTTCTATATTTTCGTAAAAATTCTGGGAACTATAATATAAAGCTGAAGACATTCACCATTACAACACCGATGCAGAGTTGATGTTCAAATTCAATTCCTACGATTGCGAATCTCCTGGAATGCAACACTTCCCAACAAATGAAGAATTGACGGGATATCGCTGCCCTTTTGCTGTAATTGAAGGGAAAATGAATGCGACGATTAAAAGATAAGCCTACTTTTGGCTGTTCGATAGTAGTCCAGCATTATGTTGGTTGATGTTGGCCTTATGAAGAGTAAATAAATGTATTGGGTAAAAGCATGTTAAAAGCCAAACAAGTTTTTTTCTATATGAATTATACTTCTACTTCGATCTCACGGGAAAATTTTCCCATGGGTAAAAATTCCACTGCTTATTTTCCAGTGGTATTATAAAACGGTATTCTCCACTAGGTTAAGCGAATGTAATTCGTATGCGAATTGTGATTATTGGTATATCCAACATATGTCTGGTATTAAATACCAAAATGTTGGAAACAGACCAATAATAATCAAGATATTATTTCAATACTTTCAAGTTTTTATGTTTCGATTTGGTATCACTGATTCTTGTCATGTCAATGATAATAAATAATGTCAATTTTTGATTCTTGTTCTTTCCTTGCTTAAAAAAATAGTGTGCTGATCGATACAACGATGGATACAAAGATATTAAAATAAAAATTGGGATCTATTATTGTTTCCATATCTGCTAGTAGATCAGAAGCCGCCTCTTTTCAAAGTTTAAATAATTTTATAATTTTGGTTTCATTTAAAGGATTCAAAGGGATCTGCCTTATTTTTCCATTTAGTCCAAAAATCTCCTGGAGTATTATTTGCCTTCTTTCTATATGGTTTAATTGGAGAAGTAAAATTGCTTCATCCATTTTTAAGAAATAATATTTAAAGTAATAAGAAAATAGCAAATGTTACTGGTGACAGATTAACTCTGATTCAGTAGAATCCATTACCAATATTCCCATTGAAAATTTGATTTCACATGCCAAATACCAAGTGTATTTGCACCCATACTTTTCATGAGAAAATATTCCTAGTGGATGTGTCTAGAATAGAAAATATAAATTCTCATAGGAAAAATATATTTTTCCCTTGAGAAAAAAGTCGAGAATCGATGCCCGATATGTTTTATATTTCCCATAGTGGTTTCCAGTTATTTGAAATATCCAGTCTATATTTACTGATTCTGTCAATTTTTAGAATGGTCTTGGGATGGGATGTTTTAAATGATTTCCACAGAGGTTGTCGGTCTACTTCTCAGTGTTTCTATATAGTATTGAGGGCTGTTTTCTGGTTTACTTTTGGCTCAAAATGGCGACTAGAGTCGTACTTTGATTTATTTGAAGTCAATAATTTTATATTTAAAGACTGACGGAATGAAAATAATTTTATATCATTTATATGAAGCTATTTAACGAAAAATTGCATTTATTCTTACCAAAACTGACTAGCTACACTATCTCGAGTTTGACATTGACATAAAAATGTAATACAAAGGTGCGGACAATTTAGCATCGTCATAGCATCTGCTCTTTATTCTATCTCAATGCTCACAAGCAACAGAGCTAGTAATAAAAACTTATCAAATATGGGAACTATAGTAGCTCAAAAAATTGCTTGCATCCTCTTACCAAAAAGCGTAAACATAAAGAAAGGGTAAGGTAATATGACATTATTTAACAATGCCTTATTTATTTTTAATTTTAGATTAGCCAAGTCGGCGCATATGTTATAAAATATTACTACGTATTATTGAATGACATACCACAATGAAAAGAGAATATACCCATTACGCAATGACTTCTCACACCGTATATATAATCGTTCTGAAATGCAAATTCGTAAAACCCGTTTAGTCATCAGATTTTAAACAATGGCACACTATATTTCACATTCACAACGGAGAAAACGGCATATCTTCTTGAGCTTACCGGAATCTTCGGCGAAAGTACCCACACGTCCCACCGGTACCACTTTAT